AAAAAAAAAAAAAAAAAAAAAAAAAAAAAACCGCCCCAAGCAAGGCAAAAGGGATATAGATGGTGCGAAACATACATGAACTCAAGGCTAAACCCCGACTTTGCAGGATGTTGGCAAAAGAATACAAAAGAAACAGTCGTGCAACAATATGATAGCCAAGCTTAACAGCTACAAACAAAGTGATAGTTAAACAAACAAGAAGCTTTTCCCCAGAAAAGAGGGAAACAAATTTAAATGGGACGAACATGATCAGCTTTGCCAACGATCCGAGTGCAATTCAGCACTCTATCATTTTCACCCAATGCCGAATGGTCACAAAATTTAGGACACGAACCAGGGATCAAGAAAATGGCGCAAACGATGCAACAATGAGAGTCATAAGAGTTCAGACTTACTATGATAGGGATACCCTCTCACATCGATCGGATTCCGTTCATCCTCGATGCTATCGTAGGAACTGACGGAAAGCCCGCCCATTCCCTCGGTCTGGTCATACTCCATACTCAGGTTCTGAAAGGTAGCCAAGCCGGCTGAGTCTGCATCAAAAGAGTAATGTCGACTCTTCGCCAGAGCAGGATCGTGTCGGGAGAGTAGAAAGTTGAAATTCTCAAGCCTATCGAGGCTTGACGCTGTCTGACGAGCGATGTGCTCATCTGACATATTGGCTGCGCGATGGGGATTTTAGAGGATTTTAGAGCTCCGTTCTGGTAATGGTCTCGTTTTCGGTCTTTGCCTCTTTAATTTAAGTTTCTTGTAATCTTTCGTTTTTCCTTTTTCTTTTTTCCTTTTTCTTTTTTCTTTTCTGAATTACCTCTTGCGCCCACCTAATTTATTTATTATGAGGGGCCTTGAGAGAAGGAACCAAACAAGTGGTCGATGGCGCCAGAACAAGCTTAACCCAGACCAGAAAGCCAAACCCCAGATTGGCTTGAAGAGGGGAAAGCTCGGAATTGGTCCAAGAATGCACGAATTTTTTTTTCCAGAACCAGGATTGTATGACTTGTCGCAAAGATATCTGTTCTGCGATCACTGCATTGCAAATCGCATAGCGCGGAGGGTCAGCCACGTACGCAAGAGCACGAGTGAGGATATAAGATTATAACAACAATAGTAGTAGTAGTAGTAGTAATAACAGTGACGGCCGCGGCGAGAAGAACAAACTCGGTAATAAACCTCGTACAAATGGAGACTATGGTAGAAGCCGGTTGGGGGTTTCGGGAGGGGGTCTCAGAAGGAGGGAAAGAACCACACCAGAAAGGACCAATATCACCGGCGCAAAGACATGGAAAGATTGAATGAATGTGAGCGCCGAGGGGGGCAAGTAGCAGCTGTAGTTGCAGCGAGCAATTGGAACGACGCAACAGAGCTGATCGTCTCACGCCCGTCCAAGCTAGTGGATGATATGATAGAATGGAGAAATGTCGTGATCGCACGCTCTGGTTCGCCAGTCAACAGCCTCGGAACAAACTGTATGGTAATCTTACCGCTTTCTCAGCGGAACGGCGGGAATCGGTACGGGGAAGGGGGAAGGTCAATCAAAAGGGAGGGAAGTAAAAGGGAAAAGTAGGGGAGTCGGGTAGTATATATAAAAAGACAGAAATACAGTAGAACATGATATTCGGTCCGATTAATGGAATACCATGATCAAGCAGGTGGATTTTCCTTAGGTTGTTCTCCGCTCGTCAATAGGGGACGGGAAGGGGAGGAAAATTACAGTACATACATCCACATGCTACTTATCTATTAGTACGCGGTCCTACGTAAGTTCTACCGTTCCGCTACTTGCCATCCCTTAGTGTACTCAAGTACTGACAGCGTTTCTCTGAATGGGTGAGGTATGGGTTGCTGAGTACTTCTAATGTACTGGAAGGGTACTTACTTGCTTGGTAACTCCCCTATGGAGTAATGCTCATCCATTACGGTAAAGTAAATTAAGTCCGAGTGCCAGTAATATCTCCATATCCATCTCCCCCTTTCAATCTCTCCTCTCCCTTAGTTCATACTGAGACTCCACTTTGGGGGGAAACAACCTCTGTTCCAGGCTTTCCCAGTCCGAAGAGAAGACGGTTTCATACCAACTCCTTGGGCCAAATCACTTACGCGTTCTTAAATGACGCGGTCCAAGTTTTATGACCTTACAAGGCAAGAAGGCCAAAGCTTGGCGATTCTCAACCTCCTGAGTTCTGAACCCTATTAGTATTACTATTCCTGTGTCCTTTGCTGGTGTCTTTCCCCGCGCTCCACGGCGGGAAGTAACTGTCCTCCCCCTTGTCCTGTTCCGTGGTACTTTTTTTCTCCGAAGAGATCGTCAACATCAACGTGGTCTTACCTATACGTAACATGACCTCAGACAGGGAAAGCAAGAGCGTGGAAACAATTTGGCCGTTGGATTGACCTACTGACCTCTAGATACTATTAAGAGTCGGTATCCATCATGCACTACATATCTTGAGATGTTCACGCCGTCACACCAGGAACCACAACATTTATGGAATTGCAATATCCCAAGGGGGGGCGCCTTTTTTATCTTTAATTTAATTTTATTTTATTCTTAATCTTTTTGTTTTTCCAAAATTTTTTCTCTCTTTCCTCGTGTGTCAATTTCAATGATATATTACCGACAAGTCCACCCATACATCTAGTCTGTTAAGTTCACTACTAATCATTCCGGTGCAGTTTTGACCCAAAGCTGGACCCTCCAATGGTAGATTCCCCCATGGCTTCGTGTTGTGGCGATTTGAACAGAAGATCTCTGTATTTAGTACAGTACAGGATCCATCCAGTAAGATCCGTAGTCTACCAACATTGAACAGCCCTTTCTAATTACAAGCCTCCCTATCATGCGTATGAGACATTTATCTGCTTATAAAGCTCCAATCTACCGATCCATGTTGTCCACCGTACCATGCTGAAGGAATCCGAGGTCAAAAGCGGCGATTGATGCTTTTGACCCTGATCTAATGATATATATTGCGCATCCAGTTCGTTTGGGAGACATTTGATATTCGAATCGCACATACTCGCATCGATTGGGGGCCAATTGGTAATTATAGCGTGTGCGGGTACCTAGGGTTAAAGCCTGAGCAATATCCTAGTTAGCGGGGCATATCCATGCGGTCTGGGCATAGGCCAATACTCTCCAGCCTCATAGCTTTCAGGCTAATGCATGGTCGCAGTCGTAGAATAATTCATTTGGGCCTCATGGTTCTGTAGCGTGACTGAATCACAGAACCATTTAATAACTACTCAGGCTAGAAATGGCCTGTAGAACCGAGTTAGTTCCATGCGCCTCGATCCATCCGATGTCAGAAGGTATACTTCGTCAGTCATTCACCATCTTTCGACAACAAGCAGAAAATGGCGTGATCTGGACTTTTGCTACATTGCGTGAGAGGCAGCCTGGAATTCCAGGCAGCACGAGTCTTCCTTTCCCATCAGGCTGATGAGAGACGCCTGAGAACTTTTACACCACTATCTTCAATAGTCAGACATATGGCCGTGGTGGCCCTCAAACGGTACCAGGAACGATCACCGGATCCCTCCATATTCCTTCCGGTTAAGGAGAAGCTGCGCCTCTCCGATGTTCTTCATTTTACCAGACTTTATCAGCAATCTCCAATTGATAATGGCACTAACAGCTTGGGGTCGAAATGCATCCACTGGGCATCTATTACCGTGTTTGAACAAACAAGAAAGCTTCATCGATTTGGATTGATGCAATGTCATATATATAATATTAGTCAGGTCTTTTTTTTATCCTGGTCTGGGAGGAGGACAGATCTTCTCCTAAAAGACGAGGCTGTAGCTCTGCAGCCACCAAATGTTCCCCAGGTGTACTCGTGCGCAATCTACCTGACCTGTCATTTATCCCTTGGACACTCACCATTGTAAGTACTTGTCACGTTTTTTTGCTCCCTTCAACAGCCTAATTTCGAGCCATTGCATGCTTAGTAGCTTCCACGAAAGATCGATGATCCTTAAGCAGTCTAAAAGTATTCACCACATTGACTAACACGCAATTGAATCTAATCAATGAAACACGAGGAACAGATCACAGGTTCTTACAAAAATCATTTAGTTGTCACACAAGGTGTCGTTGAGGTTGAGGGCCAATAAAGCCTGTGGTTCTCCATCGTATCGCAGGCGCAATCCGGTTATAGGGCTCCGGCTATCTTCTCAGATATATAGGGGCCAATGTATCGTTATGGGGGTCGCTGCTTTGAGGACAGAGTCGCAAACAGGGGCTTGATTCCAAGATACTACGCCACCTCCAGTCGTCTCGTTATCACTGCCTTTCTGACTCGTAATGGCGGTCTCTCGCTCACAAGCCCTCAACTAAACAGCCAACTTCCAGCACGAGTTATCACTCGTGAAACGTTGAGCATATTGCTATTAACGAGAGAACTTTACAAGGGCAACACTCTGGTTGCCACTGAGTTGAGGCTGGAGACAACCCTAATGTATTCATATCGAAAGCTTCTACTGGATCGATCCTGGGTCAAAGTAATTCGGTATAGGAGTTGGAAGAAGGACCCTACAGCATACTAGCCGATCAAATCATGGATATGGTCGGTGACTATATGCATACGATGGTGGCTTTTGATCTTGACCCTAAAATCGAACAAAGGGCGAAGTGTCTCTTGTTAGCTTGAATCGACACAGAAGGGCTACTGTTCATGAAGCTAAGACCATCGATCTGATGGAATCCGAAGAAGGTACGATGGAGGGGGGCGGGAGTTTAGAAAATTTGTGCGTCAAAAAACAAAAACATACGAAGATATGGATTTCCAGGAGGGTAAATCAGTATTCGGAAAAAGAATTTCTTCTATCTGTTTGTTGGTTATAATTGAGTGTTTACAGCGAAGGACAAAATAATATCTAGCCCTCTCCCATTTCACGCTTCGCCGAAGCAACAGGAGGAACATAGACATGACGGCAGCGGAAGATGTAATATAGGATGGCAATGAGCCCATAACCGCACACCAGTTCATCGTCTCCTTGTCGACTGTCGAGGTCAGAGAGAAGAAAGCAAACACAAACACCGGCACCGAGAAGCACAAGGCTCCTCCGATGTTAATGGCCATTCCGTATCGACCCAGAGAAGCAAGGATAATCTAACCCCAGTGGGCGCTTGGGGTGATTACTTGTAGTAGGCATGTACATACACAGAGCACCTGTCCTACGTAGGGGATGAGGAATAACTGGGATACAAACTGGAAGGGATACAGTATGTACAATAGGGTCATATGAGTTCGAGAAAAGAAGACGTTCTGGACGGTGGGACCGGGATCGGATGACCTAGGCCCCGATTCCCGAGACATAAATTGAGGAAAGCAGAAAAGTTCAAGTTGAACATTAATAATGGCAATTCTTCCCGGACCCGACAGAAGAAAACAAGGCTGTGAAAATTTCTTTTCTTTTCACTTCTTTCTTGTTTTCATTCTTGTCCATAATTATTATATTATGATTTCTTTGCACTGTACAAATATATATATATATATCTCTCTCTCTCTCTGTATACTAGTTTATCTGGCTGTTATCCTCATCACGGATAAGCGGCAACACTAAACTAACAAAGACCAACAGAACAACCAAATGGGGCCGTCTGTTTAAGATTTGAACCGTGTGGCTCTGTCATTCGCCCGCTTCCCCTCTCATCCAACTCTTTCTCCCTTCTTTACTCATTTCTATTTTTATATCTATCCGTTCCTCATTTTCTGAAACTCTTACCTATAACCCTAACGGAACATTGGGTCAGTCCGGTGGACAAATCCACCCCCGTGGGTTATCAAACATACAGATGACATATTGACCCCGGGGCACGGGCCCGGTCTACTTACGCCTATAGTAGAAGGAACAATGCAGAACCCGGTGCGTGATGCCACACCTTGGGGAGAGCTGAACAGCTCTTCTGGTGTCCGACAAGGTACGCGATTCAACAGCGGCCATGGTCATGCACATCGGAGGCGCAACCCACTGGTAAGAATCATGTCTTTACCTCCGGGACAAGATGCGTTAGTTAAGCTCGTCTGAACAGGCGTGTGAGATGTGTTATAAGAAGAAAGTCAAATGCGAAATTGAAGGCTCCAACACCGCCTGTATTCAATGTATGCGTCGTAGCATAACATGCAAATTCACCACGAGGAAAGAGAAGCGAGAGAACTTGAAAAGGTACCGGTATATCACTGCAACTTTTACCCGCGATTTTCAAGGACATAGCGTTTGCTGAATGGTCCCTTTTAGAACAAACTACGTGAAATCCCTAGAAGAACGCTTGAAGAAGACAGAATCCTTACTCCGAGCTGCAGGTCTTCTAGACACCGAAGATACTACTAGTCAACACGAATCTAGTGGGGAAGATAGAAATGGCCATTCTGAGGATGAGAGTGACTTCGACCATGGGCAAGACGAGTGTTATCATTCTAAGGGCCGTGGCTCCAGGATCTTAACGTCAAGAGACACATGCCAGGGCCCAAACGAAGAGTCGGGCGTAATGTCTGATTGTGGTCGCTCAAACAAGTCTAGCGGACGTAGCCAGACGGCACCTTGGGAGAGTAGTCTACAGCAGCCTCCCCTTTTCCGATATGACCCTAGAGAAGACTCTCGATACTATGGTACGTCAGACAACGTTGACCTCCTCCCCCTTCTTCTTTTTCGGGAGTACCCATTAACTAACCAGATGCTAGGACGATCTTCCTGTCTATCCATATTATCTCGAGATGGAATTGAGTGGATCAAGAGCAAAACAGGGGACTCCGGATGCCTCAACCTACTACTTGAGGACAAGGCCCAGGATAGCCCATGGGACCATTGGCGGCCAGATGTGTTCCATGACGTATTTTCATCTACGGTCTTCAAGCCCTTACCTCCGAGAGCAGAAGTTTTCTCCTTATTGAACGATTATTTTCGCACAGTGAACCGATTATTCCCATTATACCATGAGGCGACATTTATGCAATTGGTCGAATGGCAATATACGCAGCAGACTTGTGATGATGCTGCCCGCTGGGCAAGCATCAATATTATCCTCTCTTTGGCTTACGAGTATAGATTCTCCAACAGCCAAAAGTCAGAAAAAGACAGAGAGAAAGCATGGCTCTATTACAAGAATGCTATGTCGGTCTTCGCAGAGCTCACATTGCGGAGAACAGATATCCTGAGCGTGCAGGCCCTCCTTGGTATGGCACTATTTCTTCGAGGAAATTCTGGTACTCAGTCGGCGTCACCTATTATAACCGCAGCCATACGGTCTTGTCAACGAATGGGACTCCATCGTGACGTGCCAAGGTCCCATCTTTCCCAGTCTGAGCAAGAACAGAGGAAAAGAGTCTTCTGGACTGCCTATATCCTTGACCAGAGGTAACGTCCAATCTATGCATGATATCTCCGTTATATCGCCCCAACCTAACTCGTACCTGCTATAGCGCCTGCATCCGGACTGGGAGTTCCCCAGCCCAACATCCCGACGATTTTGACATTGGGTTTCCCGAGGTGGATACTGAGAATGAATTTACAATGAACGATAATGCTTCGTTTTTCCGCCAGCTTTGCCACTTGACTCTCATAAAGAGCCGGATATACAGTAGGCTCTATGCTGCCAAGGCTCTACACAAGAATTCCCCGAAAGAAATCTACAAAATTGTCCGGGAGCTACGGGATGAACTTGAAGAATGGCATAATGCAAGTCCTTTCACTCAGCGAATGAAACCAAGAGGAGCGGGTGAAGACTTCCTCATAGGATTTGCTACCGCTGGCTTGCAGTTTGGCTATTACAATTCTATGATTATGATCCACCGTTTGCCATTGACCATTCATTTTGCCTATGTGCGCCATTCTCCGGTTGGGGTCAAGTGGGACGTTGATCGCAAAACCATTCTCAACGAATCATCTACCGCCAGTTCAATTTGCGTTCAAGCTGCCCGAGAAACGCTAAAGCTAGTGAATAACCTTCCGTGGGGGGACATAGCCTGGATTTGGTGAGTCAACTGGATAGCTTCAAATCCCCCACCTCCCGCTAACGCCAGCGTAGGTCTCTCTTGTATTACATTTTTCTGGCAGTTACAATATTATTCACTTATGTCCTTCGCGATAGTCAACACCCCCACGCCAGAGAAGATTTACATCATCTCAGCATGGCAGCGACATTCTTTACAACGCTCATACCGGGCGACGGGCCCTGTAACTACGTCAAGTTCATGACCAAGATGTGCGCCAACTTCGAGCGAGTAGCCCGGACCGTTGTTGAGCGAGAACAGAAGGCGCACAAAACAAGCGATAAATATCCTCAGCCTGGGTCATCATCTGCAACCCCGGCAGACCCCAAGGAGAGGTGTCCCTCGTCCAACGAGCAAGCATCCCATCCATCTTCTACCGGAAACATCGACATTCCCCAACTCGAAGGCCTCCCACGCATCAACTCGTCGGGCTATGTTGTCCCTGGGAGCCCTAGTGATACCCCAGAAGACATCCCGTCTACGGTCCCAACCACTGCCAGCAATTTCTTCCAAGGAGAGTTCTCCGCGAGTCAGTCACACGAGAGCACCAATGCACCCATCCCGCAAGACCACCTTTCCGCAATGGATAACACACTTCTGATGTCCAGGGCCGACAATCTACAGCAACCGGAGGCCTGGCAGATCCCGCTGACCGCGGACTGGGAATTTAGCAGTCAATTCCTGAGCCTTTTTGGTCCACAATTCTTTGATCAAGGGGGTACCGATACCGTGTCAACAATGGCCGCGATGGTAGCGCCGCCAATGTCTTCGGCCGCAACGAACATGAACATGGACTTTGGTTGCGAGGACCCAAACATGCCTGAAAGCACAGAGAGTTACCCAACATGGATGACCAGAGGTTTCATGAATCTTTTCTAGTTGATCAGCCAGCAGGGTAGTTGGGGGACTCTTCTATCTCGATGACTCTATATATGGCTTCAGTGACTACTTTCTTATTTTTGCTAATAAGCCTTTGCTCTGGTATCGAAGTATGGACCCGGTCCATGAATGACAAATATGATGGATATGAGCATCTGCCTATATCCTAATGAACTGACGATCACTAATCCCACTCTCATGTTCTCAATACCCATTGTATGTATGCGACGCAGAAAACAATTTCATCAGCCTATACTCCTCAAATAAACACCTTTATGAGTATCAATAATGAAAAGAAAAAGATCTTCCGGTCTAAATCAAAGAGTAAGCACTAAAAAAGAGGGATTTAATATGACGTGACGTAGGTGTTTACCGGAGCCTTTCTATTGTGTAAATAAAAATGCGTCACATGTTCTTGTGTATCCTAAAAACATTCATCGCATCTCATCTGATCTCAGACCTTCTCCAATCTCTCTTCACGTATCACTCAGCCAAAACCAACCACGGTACGAACCTCACTGCCACCAAGATAATATACTACTCACAAACTACATATCCTCACAACCAACACAACCAACACAACCAACAAACTTCCCCATCTAGATAATAATAAAGAAAAAGAAAAGAAAAACAAAAAAGATGACCACCCTACCCGCCAACGCGGCCAAAACCTACACATACACCCGATACCCACCAACGCTCTCCCCCTCCATCCCGCGCCTAGACACGGGGGAAGACGTTAAAAAGGCTGCGTTCGCAAACCCCGAGACAATCTTCGACGACACAGTCGACTCCGCCGGCGGCTGGTACCAGAAAGACATGGACGGGAAGGTGTTGGCCGTTGTATCGGATCAGATGTGCGAGGATCTGGATGCGAGACGGGATCATGCGGAGGCTTGGGTGAAGGAGAATGAGAGACGGGAGGCGGCGGGGGAGCCACCTTTGGAGCCGGTATGCTGGAGGAGGGGGGATACGGAGAAGCGAGTTTGATGGTGATAGGTTTAAGGGGAGGGGTTGATGTATTATTAATGAATATCTACTATGTGTGGCTTTTTTTCCTTTTTTTTTCTTTTTTGATATGATTAGGTTGGGATAGAGAGCTCTGTTATGCTCAAGATTGGAGTCTCGTATTGATTTCCATGTACTTTGTAGATGTTATCCACATATCAGATTCCTTTGTATAAACCCGTACCCGCCCATGATATAAATCCAGAACCCATGGTTAACTCCCAGGCCCAAACACCGCTACCCCACCCAGTTGCGCGTGAAAAAGATAAGGCAAAGTCTCACTCGCTGTCAAGACGCCATTCCCAATCGCTTATGATCAAAACACTGTCCCAGTGAGCGTTTGAACTGCCTTGCTCCAGATACCATTTCCAAGCTGGGCCCCGGAGTCCCCTCCGAGCTCCTTGCGAAGAAGTTTCCGCATGTCATTCTCAGACATGCCAGTGTCATTCTTGGTTCCAAAACCGTAGACTTTGCTGGCAACCACATCGGTCTCGAAGGTCATGACACCGACTTCATCAGTATTCCCTTTCTTCTGCACACTCGTCTTGACAGCAAAGTCAATATCAACTCTTCTCGCTCCTGTATTCTTCGCCGTTGACGACGTCTTTCCAGTTGAAAGTTCGAGCAGAGTGCATCTCGCGCGGAGGGAAGGCTTGTCATCAATTCCAGAGAGTTGGAGTTTAGTAGCACCGTAGAATTTGAGCATGCGGGCCTCCTCTTCAAGGTTAAGCACAAGATCCCATGCCTGTGCTACAAAAAGCAGCATCTGCTTTGGAGCTGTTTTAGATTGCGGTAGAGTTGCGAGCTCGTTTTGGAGGGACTTCAGGACTAATGATCCTATTGGCGACAGCTGAGAGGACTGGACCGCCAACTTCGTCTTGCTTTGAGGACTGTATCTCAACTCGATAGTTATTTTCTCGTCAGTAGCAGGTGGTTGATAGCCGCCATTTTTAATAGAGAATGCCCTAGGATAGAACGCCAGTTGGAGCTGGTTGCGATAGGACATCGTGACCAGCGGGCCGGCGGCTGAAGCTGAAGGAGAGGTCGCCGAGACTATAGACCATCCCGTCTGACGTTCGATCTTATGGACGGATTCTTATGAAAATTAGCTCAGGCTTTCGCCATATCCGGTTAAGAAACTCACCCTTTAGCTCACTAATTTCCGTAGCACTCCAGCCTCGGCATTCTTCCTTGACCCTTTCTGCTTCCTCGATTTGCGCCATGTATTCCGCTTTAAGCTCCGCTCCAGCCTCGATAGTATTCGTCTTGTCTTGGGCTTCAGCCTGTAGCTCTTCTAGGAGCTTTTTCTTCGATGCGATATCCGCCTCGACGCTAGACAGTTTCTCGCGCGCCTCACGCAGTTCATCCTGGTCACAACTTTCAATCTCATCTGCTAACTGCTGCAAAGATGTAGCCTGTTCCTTAAGTGACGTATGTTTTTCAACAAGTGGGGGCACAATGCCGTTGAGGAGCGTCTCATGCTTCGAAAGAAGCTCATCATCACCTTTCATCTCTTCAACGTGTCGAGTGAGCCCATCTTTTAGACCCTCGAGGAGCTTCATTCGCCACTCATACCACGTAGCCTTGCTGAGTAGCCTGGCATGGGTTTTTACATTTCGAAATTGATTATCCATTAAGAGACGAATATCGGGAGGGGCTGTCATATATTCTCGGAATAATGGAGGGTTGTCGGCGTATGTCTCCGTCTCTATCGACCGGATAATTTGTCTTCCTTCGGAGATATACGACTTCAGTTCTCGGCAAGACTAGAATTGATTAGCAAGATATCAGAAGTGACCTAATGAGAACTTACATGCTGATAAAGCTCAAGCATAGGCACGGTGCAGAACCCAGCAGCAACACACTCATCAAACTTGGAAGCACTGGTCTTTTCAAGCTCGCTAGAGAGTCTAGCTTTTCTTCTGGTCGCACTGTCCGGTGCGGTTGTGTGTCGGCGTTTTGTCGTCGTAAGTTCCATGAAATGGATGTTGGTCATGTTCAAGAACTCCTGCAAGTGGATTGGGTCAAAATCCGGCCCTGATTTTTCCTGATGATCGGGCGTCTCCTGGGTTGACTCAGAAGTGGACGTGACATTATACGAACTTGGTTCATCCTCTGCGGAGCTCAACACAGGTTCTTGAGTAGGTGTAGTGCTCAGCTTCGCCGGAGATCTTTCGATGGATTGAAGAGCAGGCGAACGGCCCAGACGTCCAACCGTTTCGTCCTTTGTTGGCGGTGCCGGAAGCCTGATATTCTTTACTGGGCTAGCCTCACGAACTCTAAGACGCTTTGGTGTACTATCGGATTCGTTGTCGAGTAGATCCAGTTCCATCGGCCGTTTCCCAAGCAAGCCCCGCGCTGCGCCGACGTGTAGGCTTTTCCGGCCGGCGACCTTGTTCTTCTTTGGCGTAAGGCTTGAGATCATATCTCGCAAGTTCGTAGTCGCATCCCGCTCATTAGCTTGCAGAGGCGGGATATGTCCATCTTCTCTGTTCTCTTCCTCTTCGCGCTCGCGATCAACCTCCTCTTGTAGCTTCACGGGATCTTCAAATCGCACACCTTGTTGATGTTGTTGCTGAGGAACGAACTCGGCATTTCCCTCGCCAATGGACCGTCGCTTATCAAGCATAGCCGCTACCTTCGGAGATCCAAGTCCTTCTTTATCGATTCCAAGTCCTGAAGACCGCCTCCTGCCTTTGGGTTGCAGAACAAAGAGGGGGGCAGATTCTCCCGTCACGCTGCCTCCAAAGAGGCTCTTACGAGGAGACTTTCGTTTGTTTGAGGACTCTTGCAGCACAGGTTGGAAAAGCTTCTTAGTTGACACGCTACCAAATCCCTTGGCGCTTGATGGCGTGGTTTTCCCCGGTGTTGTAGGACGACTGACCTGCGGCGTTAATTGCTTCGGAGTCAATGAGCTCCCGTATGGAGACTTCTTGGGTGTAGTCGATGTTGGTATGCTTGGTGATCCGTGACTCAGACTCTGCCTTGTACGCCTAGATCTAACACTTGCCAAACTAGGACTACCACTCTCTGAGGTAACTGTAGCAACATGGAAAGAAACCGGTGACTTCGCAGGAGACCGTCGAACTTCTTCTTGGAAGGGCGAGCTACCCGGCTCACCAGCGTCGGATCCCACTTCCATCCCTCCATTTGCCTCATCCTCACCGGTGCCACCAGCTCCTGCTTTCGACGGTAATATCCTGCCCTTCGCTGTTGTGACTTCCATTCCCGTAGCCTGATCATCATCTTCTGGCTCATCTTGTTCCTCATTCGGTGGAAGGATACCACCAACAGCTCCAGTTATTTCCATATCCTCTCCGTCCCCCATCGCATCATCTCCGTTCCATTCGGGGGAGTTTTGCTCATCGAAGTCTTCCTGAGCAGAAGAATCAGCATGCTTATAGTCATCCTCATCTGCATCTTGGGGAGCGGCTTTGCCCAAGAGTCCGCCAACGACAGAGGTAAACTCCATTGTCATCTCCTCATCCCCGTTGGCATTGCTGTCGGCGCCCGTAGACTTCGTAGGGGAAGCGGGCTGTGCGATACCTCCAATTACATTTGTGAGTTCCATCGTTTGTTCACCGTAGTTTGTTTCCTCTCCTCTTGACTTGCGACGGATGGTGCTTTGGCGGCGACTTGCCGGTTCAGAGATAATCCGGCCAATAGCATTTGTCACTTCCATACTCATGTCTTCGTCTCCATTGTCACTTGCGGCATCAGAGACTGCCACATCTTGGGCAGGTCGGTCTGTTTGGTAGGCATTCTCTTGATCATGTCGCGCACTAATGTCTTCCCAGTCAAAGCTTTGTCTCTGTCCTTTCTTGATCCAAGGTTGAAAAGCTCCAGTAATCTCCTGATCAGCAATCTCCATTGACATTTCACCATCCTCATCATTATCAATGCTCCTTGTTCTTGCTTCCCGAGCGGCTTGTCGAAGAGCTTCATTTAGCCGAGCACTAGAGCTGGTATTCGATTCTTCAGATCGCGCTGTCACGACAGATTGAGCAGTCATGTCATCTAAGCTCATCGCAGTACTTTCACCATCAAAGCCGGAGGTTGAAGAATCATCGTCGTCCTCCCTCTCCTCCTCGTCATCATCATCTCTCGCTCCGCCTTGCAGTCCAGTATCTTCACTGCCATCAGCCGAGCTTCCGCTGAAAGGGCTGGAAGACATTTGCTGGGAGCCTCCCATTCCATCATAATTGCTATACTCAGGTCGGTTGGCCAGCTGCTGGAGGTCTGGATACTCCACTGGAGAAAACGCTATGTCCGACTCTACGTCGGCATCCGGGGACGAGGGAGGTTCAGTCTTCTCTGTAGCACGTGTAGCCTGGTTCTCGGAGGTTAGGGAAGATGCGCGTCTGGTAGAGTTGGAGGTAGATGATGAAGTAGAGTCGTCGGGAATTTCCACTACGTTCCATGTGTGTAATGTTGCCTCCGGAGCGAATGATACTCGGCGATTTGCTTTAGTGAGGAGTGGTTAGTCCAACGTCAACTGCTGGGAAATATAATGACGTACCCATAGACTTTCGGCGAGCTTCTCTCTGTTCTAGGATAGCCTTCCGCTCCCGTTCCCGTCTGTCAGTTTCATCGCGCTCTCTAGCAGCGGCTATCTCGTCACGTATCGAGGCAGCATTGAAGCTGTCGAATGGATTGGACTCATCTACAGACCCTGACGGTTGTGCTGGGGTGCCTAGATCTATCAACATGCCTTCTTTTCCTTGGCTGGCCCCGCCTGCATTGTCTTCATGATGCTGTGAACCTCGGGCCGGTGTCCGTCTGCGCGTTTCCTCGAAAGAGGGGATATTCCGGACGGGCGAAACAGGCACAGTGGGCTTGAGGATAGACTTGAGGGGGAAAGTTGTGGTAGACTGTAATGTAACGACATATCACTTAGTTCGTGAACGCAGCAGAAATCGTCGGGCTGTGAGAGGAAGAAAAGTACCTTGCGTCGGTTGCCGTTGGAGTGCTGAAGCGCATCTAAACCACCAGGCCCCAAACTCTTGCTGCGGGACTTCTTATCTTTCCCACCCAGTTTCGTGGGGCCAGGGTTCAATTGATGAGCAGCGCTTATGTCTGTGGTTGTATTCTCCTTATCCACAGCCGATGTGAGTCTTGATCGGGGTACATGGGCGATCGAGCGACGAGCTCGCGGGCGAACAGACCCCGCGGAGTCACTTCTGGATGCCATGAAGCAAGAAATGGAGAACCATAGACAAGAATTTTGTTACCGAAGAATCGCGATTTTAGATCGAAAATGATTTGGTATTTCTTTTCTTCAGAGCGTTGTAACAATAGACATAATTTAGCTATGGTTGCGACCCCATCAACCATACACACTAACAAACTACTACTACAAAAGTCGCGCATCCCCTGGGCGGTGCTCATGTGATCGGCCGATGTAAACAAACCTCTTTAAGCTATCGCGGTTAGTCAACTCTTATGTAATTCAGGATGGGTGTTAGGGCTAGTCGAGCCCGACTAGCCCCCAACAGGCTTAGCGTCGCCATCGCACACTCCCACACTGAATTATCCGCCATCCCGAATAAATCTTCCTCAACATCGACGCAGGCCCCGACACCCCTCCGCGACGAATCTTACACCCAGCTCGACTTCGCTTCCTCGTCGGACTGAATTCTCGCAACAATGGCGACCGAGTTGACCGTCCAGTCGGAACGTGCGTTCCAGAAGCAGCCTCATATCTTCGTCAACCCCAAGACCAAGGCGAAGAGCAAGAAGGTCGGCCAGGGCCGCAGATGGTACAAGGATGTCGGTCTTGGATTCCGTACCCCCAAGAACGCTATTGAGGGCACCTACATCGGTATGCACGACCTGCGGTGAAAATTTCGAAATCTACAATGAAGAACGACGATTTCCCGGGGTTTGGAGATGAAAGACCACACGATGTCATAGGAGTCCGGGATTGCATTTGCGACACGGATATTGACAACAAAGGTGGTGAAGAATCTTGTCGCAATTAAAAAGCTGATAATATCTGGCTGGTCTTTTTATCTTCATCTCCTAACCCCGGAATCAGTTCTTGAATCTCCATCAATTTGATGGACAGATTGCTGATATCAAACAGACAAGAAGTGCCCCTTCACTGGTATGGTCTCCATCCGTGGCCGTATCCTGACCGGCCGTGTTGTCTCCACTAAGATGCACCGTACCATCGTCATCCGTCGTGAATATCTCCACTACGTCCCCAAGTACAACCGTTACGAGAAGAGACACAAGAACCTTGCTGCTCACGTCTCTCCCGCTTTCCGTGTTGAGGAGGGTGACTGGGTCACCGTCGGCCAGTGCCGTCCCTTGTCCAAGACTGTATGTGCTTAATTGTCCTAAGAACCTTATTGGCCTCGCCATATGCGATCATTGCGTCCTTTGTTTTGTACTGGGCCGCCTTACGCTGTGGACCTACCGATGGATTTCTTGAATGATCACTATCGATTTGAACACTTCTAACATGAAAATTTTTAGGTCCGCTTCAACGTCCTCCGTGTCCTGCCCCGTACCGGTAAGGCCGTCAAGGCTTTCTCCAAGTTCTAAGCATGTCGATGATGAAGGGGGTGTTCGATTCCAGAGGGTCAACCTAGGGCAGCGGCGTGGCTGGATATAAGCGAATTAGTTTAACGGGTTGGGATTACTTCACGATTTCATGTCCCTGGTACCCTTGTGAAGGAAATATCCAATGAAAAAAAGCTTTTTGATACTCCATGCTAGAATTTCAACCGTATAGCCGGCCGGGAACGGGGACTACCATGCATGACAGTTCGGGAATTGAGCTTTTTCAGGATGCAAATCTAGGTCTTTTTCCCATTCAATTTGCCCTTCACTCTTCTGTCGTTCTTCCTAGATGGTTCGATTATTTTCTCTTGTTTCTAAAACTAGAGAATTAGAACGCCAGCTGCTCTTCGGCAGCCAAACGCAGCATGTTTCAGATATCCTCGGTATTCCCAGTAGATATACAGTACAACCCACAAACAGTCTCAGTAAGCCTGCGCCACCTTTGCTATTTCCTCGTTTCCATTCTCCTCCCTTCGCGGTTTGTTACGCCTAGTCATGTTGTCCGTCATTCCTGCCAAAACAATAGCAATTGGAAACACATAATCCGATTTGGTTGAGTACGATATCATTTCAGAACCTGGTTGACTCGGGCTCTGTCACTCGCAAACTGATCCTGCTTCACTGCGTGGTGTAACGCACTGGTCTCGATCAACTCCGGTCCTGGACTTTCTGAAGTAGAACCCTCAACGTTGTTATTCTTATTCATATTGATGTTGAACAAGGTGTTTGGGAAGCCATTCGTGGCGAAGATATCTTCAACATTTTCAACGATTTCATCACCAGTGTCGTCAGCCATGATTCCTTCTCTTGTGTGCTCTTCTTGAGCTATCCATCTTCTAATACTACTATCAAAAAGCTCTATTGTTGGCAGCACAGCTCTCTTGGGCGATTCGGAAGTATCAGCACTTAAATCGTTGTCGTTATGTTGATCATCATTATCATCATCCGATGACCCCCCGTCAGTTACAGTGTCGTCATCTGAAGAGTGCCGGAACATCTCTGAGTTGTCTGCGTCTGAGATGGCAGGAAGAGGCGCCCATAGATCATGAACCTGAGATGAATAGCCAATGTTCACCCCCTCGATAAAGTCTTCCCAGGAGCTTTCTTCCCTATTAAAACGCCACGAATAGACAATTCCTTGCGCAATTAGATGACAGTATTGGGGGGGTACTTGGAGTCGTGCCAGGAGCTCTCCTATACTCAAGCCAGACTGGTGGCCTAGTTGGCCTTTACCCATCTCTAGGGCTCGGTGCAGTGGCCGGCCAGCTTTGTCATAGGCTCCAATGATGCCAAGCTGTAGAATGCTCTCAATATGAGGATGTTCACTTGTTATCTGAAGAAGCGAGCTGATTTTCCACGAGGATATGATCGCAGAGCTAGAAATCTTCCCCCAAATAAAAAACTCTCCAGCTCCAGTATATCTTCCTATCCTCAGCCCAATCTTTCGGAGAAGCTCTTTAGCAGAGAAAACTTGGGTCGGGAGCTTTTGGGGGTCTATCATGGTCACTATTGCTCCCTCTTTGTGTTTTATTGCCCTATGAACTGGCGCAAGCATCGATCTAAAAGTTGAGATGAATGGTGTTGGAACCTTGGCTATACTAACGTGGTTCACAATGTGCTGTTCGAACTCATGTGCCTCGATATCATCTGGCGCAAAATACTCTAACTCATCTGTGAATAACCCAGCAAGAAACATTTTGGTGGAATTGACCCCTTGGGAATTGATATTTGACCATCTATAAAGAATAGGTGGTATCCATGCCGCGACTTCTTGCTGTTAGTGTGAGATGAATCAGCCATATATCCTTAGATCTTTGTCATATGTTATTGGCTTCATACCTGCTTAACACCTTCTTTATGGCACCATAAACATCTCTTCCAACCGCCAGTACAAAGGCTCAAGTCAGTATAATGATGTCTACTAATTTCCACAGGGTTACGTATAGCGGAGGTATCCAGTGCTCTTGCGTTGGAGGCTGTGGCAGGGCCCTCATCCATGTCCTAAAGTAGAATTAGCACCGATTTTTCTCTTCGCAAGAAGAACTCACATCTGCTGGCTCAAAGACAGCAGGAGGGCTCTCCTGCCTGGGCTGGAAGTTCGAGGTCTCTATGTCATCCGCTTCCTTCTCGATAAGGGTAATGTTCAATGCCTTCGCACATTCTTTAATTCTCTCAATCATGGAGAACCAGGGACCACGGTCGTGGAATGGTGACATGCGTACATGCCCCCACATGGGATCATCAGTCCTCTTCATCATGGACCACATGGCCTCCAACGGACCCGTCGAAACCCCTTCCGTGAATCCACACTGGATCAGCTCGCGCCTAAATGCATGATTGAAGATTACTTTGAAATCTCTTCTGTCTCTACGGAAGAATTTATAGAGACAGCAGAGGAAAAGCTTCTGCTCGGTGCTCCATCGGTTCCGGGGTATCCTCTCGGTGGGATCGATAGCTTGTAAATCCATCTTTAAGATAGAGCGAACTACCCAGTCCTTGTGTTTCCTCCGATTGAGTCATATCATATGATGAGTCTGTAAAAGTGATGCTGTAAGTAGGCTGTTTCTTTCTATGGGTGTGACATGACGGGATTTATGGGGCATGGGTAGAAGAATGTTGAAAGTGTTAGTTAGAGCCTTGCTCTCCCTAAATAACCAGAAGAACACCAAATTGTCTAGAATACAAGCCACATGTAAAGCGATGTAAGATAAGGTTAAATGGTGGAAAGGTTGGTCGTTAAAATTGCATGGGTTGAATGTGTTGTAAGGTTGGGGCTGGGACTTGTTTGAAACACTAAAAACTTCCGCAGACTTCTGACAGAAAAACACAATCTTTGCCGGTCCCATTTGCAGAATACGGCTTTTCCCGGATCAGTTTCAAGTTGGAGCAACGAAATGGGAGCATGTCGTCAAGGGTACAATTACTACGGAGGGAAGATATAGATAGTGTTTGACCAAGGGCACTGTACAACAATAAATCTAGAAGTGAAAGGAGATGATACATGATGAAACCAGTCCCCAATGACATTGATACTCATATCCTAGCCAAGCTGAAACAATTGACCGACGACTTTAGAAGGAGTGGCCCAATATAGAAATGGGGAAGCCATTGGACTCTAAAAGCGAAGCGATAGAAAGAATTTATTTCTCCGAGTAGCGATATATCAGATTTCCGACTTGGGAGTAGAGACATAAGGACCATGGGGAGAAGTAAGTCATGATATTCAGAAGAAATCCTAGTCAAAGGCAACACAATAGTAGTGCTAGAATGCTGGAGCAAGAAGAAGAGGCGGGAGAACGTGATACCTTGATATATCTGCCTAAGGCGGAGAACAATGGAAGCTTAACTCCACTGCGATTCCGCTGACACTCCAAACGTCCTGAACGCCTGAAGCTCCCTCAAGACGGCCCCTCCGGTCATTTCCCCATCCTTTTAAACTCCTCGGGGCTGACATAAATCACCCTTTCTTACCTTGCATCGTTCCGCCTTTTTTCAGTCTCATTGCCAGAGATTGTATTCTTCGCCCACCCCTCCACCCTCCTACTCCCTCCCTAAGTCGCCCGCGTTCCCAACATGGTTTGAGCTACCATGCCTCTTTTTAGTGCTAGTGTCGACAGATTTATTTGGAATTGCGACAGTCGTTGACACTCTTGAAAGCCTCAGACCTTACGAATAATCTCAATCCTAATTGAACACTTCCCACGACAGTCTCACGTCCTTGGTTACGGCCCAATCGCGAAGTCCGACACCCCCCTCCCCCGACAATGTCTCACAATTTTGAGAAATCCGTAAAAGGGGCCACCAAGGTCAAGGTCAGTGTGAATATGTGCTCTACCTTATGCCTGTTAGTTTAGCGCAGAGTGCTGATGACTGGCTTCATGCGAACAGCTTGCAGCCCCTAAATCCAAATACATAGAGCACATCTTAGTAGCGACTCACACAGGCGAAGCAGGAGTAGCGGAAATATTTCGAACACTGCAGCTTCGGCTTCGCGATTCAACATGGACTATAGTTTTTAAAGCCCTCATAGTCGCGCACATCATGGTGAGGGAGGGGCAATTAGACGCTGCATTACAGTATATGGCGGAGAACCCGAGGAAACTTGCAATCAGCGGGTTTTCAGAAGGTGAGGAGGTAATTCTACGCGCGATAGAGGACAGGATGCTGATATTTAATAGTCCAGTCACAAGGACATAACATCCGCCGGTACTCCGACTACCTCATCGCGCGCGCAAATGCATTCGAGGCTACTAAGACGGATTATGTACGAAGTGGGCAAGGGCGGATGAAGAGGCTAACGGTAGAAAAAGGCCTCTTGAGGGAAACGGAGATTGTACAGAGACAAATTCATGCGCTATTGCAGTGTGATGTAGGTTCTCCATCGGCTGTGGCCGCATTACCATGGCTGATTGTTTTCCAGCTTTTGACAGATGAAGTTGAGAACGAGATAACATTAACGGCATTCCGCCTGCTCACGTTGGATCTCCTGACGCTTTACTCAGTCATGAACGAGGGCACGATAAACGTCTTGGGTAGGTGTAATCAACCGTCACATATTGCGGGCTTAACTCATGGGATTCGGAATAGAGCATTATTTTGAAATGTCGCGACCCGACAGCGAGCGTGCGCTGGAGATCTACAAGACTTTTACTCAACAAACAGAGGAGGTCGTAAAGTTTCTAGGTGTCGCTAGACATTTCCAGGCAGCAACGCGATTAGAAATACCCAAGCTTAAGCATGCCTCTACGGACTTGACTCGACTCCTTGAAGACGACCTTAACGACCCGGATTTCGATCAGCGACGAAGGGAATATCTACTGCGAAAAGGGGGGAAAGTTGACAACCTGGGTCCAACATTCACATCGAGCAATACGGCTGGTGCAGGAAATAGGTCTGTGAGCAACCCTAATCCACCTCGACCTCAAACACAACCTGCTCCACAAAAGAAAGAGAACCCAGCGGACCTGATCGATTTCTTCGATTCGATCGATCCACAATCCAGTGCACAACAGAATCCTACGCAACAACCACAGTTACAGCAGCAAGCGCAAGCAATGCAATTCCAGCAGACGGGCTTCCAACCGCAGCAGCCGCCGTTCTACCCCCAACAAACAGGGTTCCAACAACAAGCGCAACCGACCGGCTTTGGCCAGCCCATGCCAGTCGGAGGCCCCTTTGCACAGCAAAGCACCAATCCGTTTGGACAGCAGCAAGCTCAGCAGCCACAGCCACTTCAACCAACCCCAACCGGTGCAGGATTTGGCGGTTACTCAGCACAACCACAGGCATACGGATTCCAAGGAAATCTTGCCCCCATTCCCCAGAACAATGCCGGGCTATTCTCCCAGCAACAACAGCCAATGCTAGGTGCGGAGTTACAACAGCAATCAACCAACCCCTTTAGACAGTCGATGTTAATGAGTACCCCGACTGGAAGCGGCGCGCCCGCCTCTCCGCTGAACCGCCAGAGCACGAATCCTTTTGCGCGACGGCTGTCGAGCGCCAACCCGCCGCAATTCAACGCCGGCACCCTGCCAGCCCAGCAACCGCCTCAACAGACAGCGCAGCCACTACAACCCCAACGAACGGGAACTAACCCTTTTGCACGAAGCTCTTCCGTTCCTCCGCAGCAGTCTCAGGGGCTACAGCCTCCTGGACTGGCGCCTCTGCGGCCAAACCCCACGGGAAGCACGAATCCTTTCCGACAAAGCGCTTTTGTCAACCCGCAGACTGGCCAGGGGTGGCATGTTAGCGGCCAGCAAGGCACCATGGGAGGTTATGAGCAGCTGGAGACCGTGCCAATCTTTCCGCGGCCTGGAATGTAATAATGTTTACCTTTGCGGGGCTGGAACACGCATGGGAGGTGTAGAGGGCCGAGGCTCTCATTTCCGAACATTCATTTCCAGGTTCCTTGTTCATATTCTCCTGCATGAGTCGTTCTGTTGTGGTGTTGTTGTTGATGTTTAATTTTAGCATAGGGACGGCGAGCTCGCAGTGCGGGCATGTCTGCCAACTTCCTGTAGCGATAGCCGACATTCGGGACTAGGGCATGTAATAAGACTTGTAGATTTTGCAATCGCAGGTCGACTTTGATGTCTGTAAGAGCCAAGAAAATAATTCAGATTTGCTGAGTAAAGTGTAGGTACAACTATAACGGTCCTTTCTATCTAAAGAGTACAAAATATTGATCAGCCGTCATTATCATCCCTTGCCTTTGCTGGAGGACTGAGGGGGATACATTTATATCTATTTAATATCTTAACAATCCTTTCTCTACGATTGGATAATCTTAGCGAAGAGCTAACCTTGGTGCTTATATAAAGCAAGGAGAGCTGCGTAAAAGGTTTAGTATACTTCAGAAGACGGAGTACTTATCGGTAAGGATCACCCAAATATATATATATATATATATATAGGGATGTGTGTTATTTGTACTTAGTATTGTGACATGGTCGATGCAGGTGGCAGAGAGTATTAACCCAAATAGTCAAATAGTCATAATAGATCTATCTATCTTCCTTTGAGTGACAATAGTTTCGTCCTTACAGGTGGTCAAATAGGGTATGATGTCTCGTGCTTTGGATACCAATTGATGCCTCAGGGTCATTGATGGATTCCAAATACTCCCTCAGTACTGTTTATTTGAGCTGCAATTGAGTTTCAGCCCCACTCAGGCAAAAAAGCATTGCTCTGAATGGATCCTTCTCCATGTTAAAGAGGAGATATTCAGCACGTCCTACAGGGTAGTCTACTTGTCAATTTATTAGAAATATATCTTTATGATGCTTTTGAGGTCCCATATGAGGCTTGAAGATTTGCTTCTTGTTTCGCAGTGAAGAAACTCTCTTCGGTTGGTTCCAACACCTTTTTTAATTGGTGGCGTAAAGAAAAAAAAAAGGAAAAAGAAAAAAGAAAAAAGAGAAAACTGATTTTGAAGCTAGGACAACTTACGATTTACTACTACTAACATCCACTTTTTTCTCTCGCCCCCCTCTCTCTCGTTCCACAAGGAGGGAGAGAGGGCGCCACCAGACCGTCAACTTCGCACTCCTGTTTCACATCATATCAATAAATATCTTTACCGATTTCATACGTAATAAAGGTGGAAGATGGACTTTTCCTGATCAGGGCAATGCGCTGACCATTCAGCAATTTCCCCCTCTCCGTTCCTTCAATCCACTTGGACACCTTTCTCTCTCTCTTATCCCCAAACTCTTGGTCCATTCTCGCTCACTCTGAAACGAGTACCCATGACGATCCTTAGTGAGATCTCCGAGTGCCATAATTAGATACCATGGACGCCAAGAACTCGTCAGCGGCACCCTCCGATCAGGAGAAGGTACTACCAGTGCTGAACTCCACACCTATCGCTTCAGCATTGTGGACAAACCCGGTGAACAACGACCCGCCGCCGTTGGCATCGCAGGACAGTTCGCATGCACTCTCCTTGGTCGACGAGCCAACCCATAGTTCCGAGCCCATTAGTCAAGATGTAGGCAGAAATGCTGTAACCAAGCCACGCAAACTGCGCAAGCCTGGTAGTGCGTCACGGTCGACCTTGTTTTGGGTCCATACCGATCCACAGTCGGCCGCACAGGGAACGAAAGAGGAAACCCTCAAGCGCATCCGTTCCCATGTTATGTCCGAGCATAATCGCAAGAAGAGACTAGAGAACACCAAGCGGTACAAAAGCAAGACGTGGAAGCACCTGGCTTTCCAACCGCCAGAAACCGCGGCCTCTAGTTCATCGGTTTCTACCCCGTTGGCCTCTGCGCCGGACGTCTCTCCCAAATTCCCCGTAAAAACTGAAGAAGGAACTTTAGGCAATACGCCTGGCCTTCCGGCCGCCTCAACAGAGCAATATTATGGTATCGACGCGCCTTCGCATAGTCAGGCCCTTGCTGTTGTACAAAATACTTCACCGGTGACGTATCTGGGGCCTGGAGGCAATGATCCGTTTAATGTGTTTCATACGCAACTTACTGATCGTATGTCTCGGCATCTTCAACATTGTGAGTCGCCGCCTCTCCGGATTATGTAGAGCACTGTGCTTATGGGTTCCATAGTTCTGGGTACCCTTACTCGGATGGCGTACCCACTTCAACGTCGGTATGGAGAGAAATTAGAGTTGCATTGGACAGCACTCGTCCATCGCGACCCTGCTTCGCTTCACGCCTGTATATGTGTTGCCGCATCTAATACAGCCCTCACTATCGGCGAATTTCCGATGAGGGAGGGCCAACGGCCCAGTGCCTTACTTCTAGACACATTTCACCACAGAGGTGAAACGATCCGGCTAGTTAATGAGGGCTTATCAGACCCTGTCAAAGCCGCCAGTGATTCGCTGATTGCTGCCGTCTCAACCCTACTAACGATTGAGGTATGGTACACGATCCAGCGATCCGTGCTTGCTGCTGACTGAATAGATTGCTTCTGGAAACCCCGATTACCTCAAAATCCACCTGGCCGGATTGAGGCAGATGGTTGCTCTGAGAAATGATCTTGCCGACGTACCGCCCGATATTCGGTTTCAAATCTCTTGGTGGGTTTGATAAGGTGAAAGTTGACGTTGCGTCCATTGCTAATTACCGCAGGACTGATATCCGGGTTGCTTGCATGGCCTTCACAAAGCCAATTTTCCCTTTCCTCCGCTACTCCCGTCCTGCCCATTTCACCATTGTCCCAACCAACGAAGACCTTACAAACACCGCCTCTGCCTTGATTTCGCTAAGTGAAATCCCGAGCATTCTTGGCGATGGTATGTCTAAGGCCATCTACGACCTTTCCGAGCTTGTTTGGTACGCTGAATGGGTCAAGAGCGGCCAGAATCATCAAGAAATTGATGATGAGACCGAACGTTACTTCAACACAGAAGTTATATATGTTGAATATGTCCTTCACATGGACCGGTACCTCGAGACCGGGGAACCCAAAGGGGATGCGAATATCGAAGGCTGCGTCCGGCTAGCATGTCTCCTCTTCCACAACGGCGCGATCTGGGAGTTTTACCCACAGATCGCGCCCGTGTTCCCCAAACCAATCAGCGCCCTCCGTCAGGCGTTAGCTACCACGATTCCAGCCGGATTTTTCCAAATGTTCCCGGAGGTGTTGATCTGGGTGCTATTCATTGGGGCTTGGAGCTCACGGTTAGTGCCCGAGAGAACATTCTTCGTGACTGAGTTGGCGGCTGCAGTGGGGAGACAAGGGATCCAGTCATGGCACGAACTGCGGTCCCTGCTGCTCAACTTTTTCTATGTAGACCGAGTCCATCAAACCGCGTTGCGCGGGCTATGGGAGGAGATACAGCTGATACGAATCCATTGATCGTAATCATTCCAGGACCTTATATCATTAGAATTAGAACTGTGTATAGTAATGAGAACATATACCTCTTATGATGAGACGAGCCACTGCCATCATTTATATACCTTCATCTTATCTGCACCCAGATACTTCTCACTTCCCATGTGCCCGAACCTGACGATGAACTGGTGAACTGGCCGAGAGTCTTTCGACGTTAGAGGTAGATAGGTACCTTGTACATTGAATACTCTTTATGGTACGGGGACCTCTCCTAACAATCTATACTATACACACAACCAACATTCTAGTAACCATTACCTAGCGACGTATTCTGATAATATTCCCAGTATCCCGACAACCCGTCTATGATGCTTCTATTTAGTAAAACCAAATTCTAATTATATACTATAATAATAATAGAATGCAAGTCTGCTTCAAAAAAAAATACCATCTACTGCGATTCCTTCTTTCCGATATTGCCCACCTTTCGTAACCCAAACAAACTAACCACTAGGCTTGCTATATTCATACCGAACAATGCCCAGGAAAGCCGCACGGTATCCCACCATCAGCGCCTCGGGGATTCTCTTATCCTCGAATTGTGATTGCTGTCGGTGATCTGATTAGAGATCAACGCGACGATCGCCAGTCCGAAAGCTTTTCCCGATCTGAAAGACTGTATTGAACACACCCGCCGCCAGCCCTTGCGTCTCAGCAGGAAAGACCCCCGCGATGAGGATAACCAATACAGTGAACAGGGAGTCAGCGGCAATCGAGTTCAGACAGATCGCCACAAATGCGCAGCTCCAGTAGGTCCACACCGGATCGACTAAGGCCATAATCAGCGGCGAGACGCAGGATATTATAGTGGTGATATTGATAATGGCGTCGACGCGACACCTACGTAAAACAAATCCTGTTGTAATGGTGTTAAGCAAGCCCATGATCGGAGTAGGGATAAACCGGATGGCCTTGTCGACTCTGGAAAGATGCTGTACATTCTGGAAGAAGAAGTTGATAATCTGCTCGAAGGCATTGAAGGCACCCCAGATCATAAACACGCTAACACAGATACGCTTGAAAGCAATACTCTTCCAGAGTGAATTGCGAATCAAGGTAGGCATGTTGCGGCGCTCTTGGAGGCTTTGCCAAAGCATAAAGAAAGTAAAGCATTCGACAGCGAAAAGAAGACGATTGTTGGTACCTCATGCACTTCATTAATGTCACTTGCAATAAGCCTGTTAAACACTTTTAGACAGCTTGGAATGCGATGGGGACGGAGGGGAACTGACGACAAGGCATAAGATAGCACGCCCAGGGCAGCACTGGCGGCGACTGCCCGACCCAATCAATAACAAACACCAGCATATGCCAGGAAACGGCCCCCGACTAGACGGCGGGGAATCTGCCACCAGGATAAGAGGAAGGCAAAGGTATTAGTGATAGCCGCACTGTAGAAGCCCCCTCGCCATCCAGCGCTGTCGGCAATAATCCATCTGCACAGAATCCCGACTCCAAAGTCAACCGGCTGGGCTCGCAGTCGCGAAGCTGCACCCCTAGTGGCTGGGGCTGGACTGCGAACAACCTCAACTATCCAGTTGCGCTTCTGAGCAGGCCTTTCCGAATGAGAGTTACCGCTTATGGGCGACATTCCGTGGAGCCCTCTTGCACACTCAGCGGGGGCTCTTCATCCACGGTGGGGATGACGTGCACTTTCTTGCCGACGGCAGCGAGCACCTTAGACGAGAGCTGACTGTCACTATCAGATGGGGCCTTGGTTATCTAGACCTTGACGGTATAGCTCGCCCGACATGCAGTGGGCGCGAAATCGTCCGACGGGGTTGGCCGACTGGTAAATAGACCAGGTCGCCTAGGGTAGGTGGTAATTAAGCGCGCATGTGCATTTTTAAGAATCCAGTTGCATGTTTCGTGGTCGCACGCTTGGGGTAAGGGCCGGTCAGGCAAAGCAAAGGTGAAAGAAAACTGTACAGAATGCCATGGTGAAAGGTTCGAGAAGGAGGAAGCCGTCCGGCCTCAACTAGTTAGCGCAGCCTAAGAAAACAGTTAGTGGCCCCTGTTTGATTGATAATAGTCCCTGGTGGTTCGAAAGTGGTCTCATTCCTGCTGATAATCTACGTAAGTCGAAGGCTAGATATAGAGTTTGAGACACCAACCCTCGAAGGTGATCTGAAGGGCATCGATGGCCGCCACATCCTCATCCACGGTGACTGTCACGTCGCCATTGATCTCATCCACCGTTGTGTAGCTATTGACCACCCCGTCCTACTGATCGTGGTGGAGAATGACTGTAACCCGAGGGCGACTACGACGGTCCACGATTGCCGTCTTACAGTGTAGGGAATACTACAGGAACTATGTCCAACACACGGGGGACTCTCCTCACCACGGCATATTTGTAACAGGGAGTATTTGAAAACAATTCGATGAAGTGCCATGTACTGTGGTCACCAAAGATGTGTAAAACCAACGCTGTGGCGGTTACTGTCAGTTCCTTTTTGTTTGATCATTCTTTGTTCTTTGTTAAATAGGCGAGTCCAAGGTGGCCGATCTCGGTGGCCAAGCGAGAACGAACTCCTTCCTCAACACCCTCCGTGTGACCACGCAAGGATTATGGGGGAATCGGCATGGTCTGTGGCTTTTCTACCTAAGCGCAGGGACATTCCTGGATCAATATGCCGACTGAGTCGAGATACGAGTACATAGGCCCTGGGAGAAAATAAAGAGAGCCCGTTCGAGGCAATGAGTGATCCTCATTCATTCGCTATCTTAGCAGCTCAACGGACAAACTGATTCATGATCCAGCCTAGATCCCTGCAGCCGATGTCGCCCGGGAGGAAAGATCAGCCAGGAAACGCCCAAAGGGTCGTTCTATGTGTTAGTTACCTCTGAGGACAAAGTGGTTGTTGCGGGCTATTGCACCACGTGACCAATTAATATGAGATGCTATCGAAATAAGACATAGCGCGGGAACATAGCGTTATTGTTACGAACCATGCTGTTGTGCGAACCTCTAGCTAAGATAGTTGTATACGGAGCGACGGTTAGGAGGCGGCCGATAATGCCACCGTCACGTGATATGGTGTATAACAATAGTATATAAAAGGGTATAAAGTAGGTACTAAAAATAAGATTGAGGCTAGACGTACAAGTTATATAGTAACTATAAGGGAAAAGAGGGAAAAGAAAAGTTGAAACCACATATAATTGGTTTTTTTGCCCTATTTCTGAGGTGTTATCCGACTATATAGGTAATATGTCTGGGACAGCCTTAGCTTAGTTCTCCCTTTATTTAGTTACTATAGAGATACTTTTACTTACTACCTTACCAAGTAGCCCAACTCGTTTGTACTCTCCTCACTATTAATTATACGTACCTCCATAGGCCTAGCCTTTATACTTAGGCTACCTTTGTGGACTTGCTATCATGCACTAGTACTTATCGGGGTCATTGCCTTAAGAGGACTCACCATGATTCAGATCCCCATCCCCAGCTTTGTATTCGTACCTACCCAAGATACCTAACTGGATATGTATATCAATGTATAATATACTATGCGGTAACTATATTCGTCAGCTTAGTTTTTAATTTAACGCCCATTTGACAGCCACCGAGTTACGCCCGTGCAGCTCCACAAGGCACAAGTAGCTAAAATTTTGCGCCGAATTTCACCCGCCCCGAAGGAATCCCGTTCTGCTACAGGACCACCCCGAGAAATTCCCGATCTATAGACTTAATAGTTTGACGGCCCCTTTTCTTCATCGTCTTATTTTTTCTATTTTCAACGTGCGAGTTTTCTATACATATTATTTCCTAGGTAATTGAATCGCTTTTTTTGCTCAATTTTGTATTTACCTACTGGGGTACACTGATTGGATCTAGGGTATTGTGTTCTATATTAACACTGCTATATGATCTTGAGGTGTTTTTGATTATGACTCTTTTGGCGGCCTGAGTGACAGGGTTATACTGACTCGATAGGATATATGCCTGCATGTTTTTTCCTTTCGATTCAAATCATTTAAGAACAGCTTTGGGGCTTCCTGTTGGCCATATTTGTTGAGGTTATGTACCATAACTATCAGTGACTACTATTGTGACACCGGGTGGAAAGCTGACGTCTGTGCTGAGACAGATCCCAGCTGAGTGCGAGCAGACACCCCAACTACGATACTGTCGCGCGCCTTTCACCTATAAATACAACACATCTATCGGAGGAATCATTATCAACTGCATTAACTAATAAAACTAGATACAACCAACATCCCCCGTCCATCGTCCATCACCATGAACGACAGATCGCCATCATTAAATAAAGCTATAAAGGGTGCGAACAAACGGGGAAAAGCAAACAAAATCACTGCACACGACCTTCTATACCTGCTGCAGGTGAGGATATAGAAATGGGTGATGATCTAGCGAATCTGCAATACATCACGCAGAACGCTGGCACGGCATTACATTCTCGCAGCAATGATATTACAAGAATGGGTATCTGAAAATAAAGGAAATGCCGGGACAAAATCCCGTTCCAAGAGAGATTTGATCATTGACCTTCGCACAACACCAGCGCTTAGGCTTGCTCGCGTTCGGTCTTGCGACTGCGAGCAGTGGGAGACCAGGGGAAGTGGGCAACGGGGAGAATGAAGAAGCTGTTGCTGTTGTCCGCAATACCGGCGAGGGCATTGTACCAGGCGGCGAATGCGGCCATGAAACCAAAGAAACCACCGGCCTTGATGATGGGAGGGTTGGGCTTATTCTCCGCGTTGCGGTGGAGGTACCCAATACCCAGCAGCAAGAAACAAAGGTCGAGGAAGAAGAACAGCAGGAAGAAAGCCACTGTGGATCTCAGGGTGCAGAAGAGCAGAATGGTGGTGAAAATGAACCATCCCTAGGTACCATCAGTATGCGTTTTATGCATTCATCGGCAATGGGGACTTACCATGAGGAATATTCCGAAGGAGTCGTCGAATTTTGATGTGCCAGCGCCCCCGAGAGCCTTCGCAATTTCGAATCCACCTGGGGTGAGGACGATGGCGAAAGAAAGCCAGAAACCACCATAAGAGGACAGGGCAGTGGCACCAAAGGTGTTTCCAACGGCCATTTCCCTAAGTAATGTCAGTGAAAGATGACTAGACATACCAGGGAGTATGTATGTACGTACCACATGCCAGCAAGCAATTGAACAAGACCACCATAGCCAAAGGCCAGAGCAACCACAATGTTGGGTTCCGCGATATCGCGCGTTCCCATGTTAATCGCACTCAGCACAAAGGTGGTGAGAGCGAAAGCAGATAGGCCCAGAGGGGCCGGGTTACCGAACTTACGGTGCTCGACCGACTTATACAGACCGGGCTGGAACTCACCACCGAAGGGACGGAGCTGAGCCTCAGCGGTGTTCACATGAGCGAGAGGGCCATATCCAAAGCGTGCGGCGGCCCTGGCCGTCTCATCAGCGGACATCTGGTGGGTAGGAACACCTCCGTTGATGCCATCGGAGTTGCTTCCGCTTCCGAAGTCCTTCTCGAACGCTTGTTGATTGTCTTCGGCTGCCATGATGCTCAAAGGTTGAAGGATCTATTCACAGCAGGTCCAATTAATGTCTTATGCGACAAAGAATTCCCAATCGAGGTCAAAGGGGAAGAAAATAAAAAAGAGTCAAATCCAGCTAGCTGGACGTGGAGATGAATATATATATGAAACCACGCAAGGGATCAAGGGAGAATAGAAAACACTATGCGCACAGCACTGCTGGCTAGACCAAACAACGGCTTAATGATATGGGAACGTGCAAGATGGAGAAAGGAGGAATAAATAGAACGGGAACAGGAGGAACGGAAGGGGGAGGGGAAGGGAAAGGTAAGTAAAATAAGAAGGGTCAGGGCCGCCTGGACCGATGGAAAAAAATAGTCGAACGAACAGAATGGATTCAATCGGACGAGCGAAAGTTGCAGGGGTGCGACTTCAGTTACTTACCGAATATGGGAGGAAGGCCCGTTAGTTGGATTTAGTTCTGCTTTAGGGTTTTTTCTTTTTTTTTTGCCTCTCTCTCTCTGTCTGGCCTTTTTTCTCTCTGGCTAAATTTTCTCCAATTTTCTCTTTCCGCGGATTAGAAATAGTGACTGACCGGCGCAAGTGGAGCAACGGAGCTGGGATTTAGTTCGTGTCAAAGTCCTAAAACGATTTGCGCGAACCCACCGAACAGAAGATACACTAAACTTGAGGAAGAAGGGATATGTCTTGTCTCAAATGGAGAAGGTAGGAAGACACGGTAAATATATTCGGCTCTCGGAGAGATTGTCCTGCATTTTTCCCCCAATTTATCCATAAAATAAAAAGCGGGGAGAGCACCAACCCCAATGGTGGTATCAATCTCGAATGAAAAAGAATTAAAAAAAAAATTTTTGGGGAAGAAAAATAATAAAAGCAGCAATTACCTGGAAAGCTCTATGGTTGGTCCAAAGGGTGAAAGGAACTTTGTCCCATCTCGCCATTCTCATTGCATGGCTCGACCTTCCAAGACCCCGGGGTACGGGAGTGGGGACACCAAGTAGAGTACTTTTTTTTCCCACTTTTACCTTCTCCGAGTGAGCGAACATTCACTGTATGGAATGTTGGTCTGGGGGGTAAAATGCACCAATCAGGCTAGTGGGAGACCAAACAAAGACGGCGTTTCATTGGATCATGTAAGGATCAATAAGATGCATGGTCAGCATGGATTTCCATAGTTCTGTGAGGATATATTTCCGCTTGCTACAAGTCAGAATGAGGTACTATAGATTCACTTTTTTTTTTTTCCTTTTTCGTTTTCTTTTCTTTTCGTTTTCATTTACATCTGTTTTTATCTTCTTCTTTTCGAAGAAGGGTTGCACCATGCCACCTTAGGGCTAAGGTACAATCCCAAATCGAACTTCTGAGTGGACAGAGAGATGGAGTCAACTAAGCTTAGGTAGTATTGGCCCTTACCATAAGGAACGTAGTCCCCCAGGTACCTGAAGGTGTTACATAAGCAGAGAATGCCGTAGTCCATACCGTATGGTAAAGCCCATACGCGGGCCCGCCCGTGGCACTTGAGTCCGATCGTCCGTTTGCATTCTTCATCCAACTCTTCCACCGATTCGATGGAATTGAGATTCTGCACATTTATGGTTCTGATTGATATGTAGCATCAACTGAGACGCGAAATGGAATGGTAATCCTACCACACGTTGAAACTATTGACGCAAGGAGTTCCCATTGACCCCCGTCTAACGTTTCTAGGCTAGTCATTTTCGCTAATTTCAGAGAGAGCTGAGGGAACAAGAAATAAAAAACAAAAAATAACAGTGGGCCCCTTCATGCCAGACATGCTTCCAACTCTCGTGCACATCGTCGGTGGGCCAAAGCCAATACGACACTCTGTCGACGGATATGCAGCGTCTTGGGTGTCACCATCACAAGCAAGCTGGCGATTATTATGTTATGGATTCCTACACCATACTTATATGGATGGCCCAAAAATGACCGGAAGCAACAATGGTATGAATACACTCTCGCCGGAGGGTTGTCATTCTTCTCTCACGATGACTTTTGTTCCGTTGATCGGCCGGGATATTATGTACTTACTGGCATGATGCATCAGCGGTGGGAAGAAAACAACAACAACAGCAATAAACCTTCTGTTCCCCCAACAAGGACTGATCAACATAAAGCCAAACTCAAGCTAGAAAGCTCCAGGATGTCATGGATTAGCATGGATTAGAATACCCGGAATCGGTGGCGGATTACGCACCAATGATTCGCCCCGAGTGATCTCGACCCACGGACTTGACCGGCTAGGTTTAACGCCGGTGGGTTTACTTACTCCGCGCTAGTTCACTTAGGTTGGTAGGCTGTTTCGTTCGCGCCCCCGGCACGGTAAGTGGTGGAACTTATCCACTTAGTCTATTTCACCGTTTCTGTGGAAGCTGATTGCTATACTCCGTAGCTCCGCCCTCCCCTCTTCCATTTCTCGCATTTTGATGTTCAAACTTCACAGCCTCACTGCTGGCGTACGAACAAGCTCAGATGTCAAGACAGGGACCCATCACCAACCGCCTATCATCATTTAATTCAAACCCCTGGACAATGATATTGCCTGTGACCAGAAGCATATATAACTCATCGATCGCTCTCCCAGCCGAAATAAGGAGTGGCACATCACCATCCGTTCAGGTTACTCAACTCGGTCCAGGTACTTTGTTGGGGTAACACGAGATGATCTTCCTAGAGCGAAACGCGGCTCGCTTCACGAAGAGTTCAGGAACAAAAGAGATTTGATCTACAACTTATACAACGTTTGTTTGTTCCTCGGGCAACTACGGACACTGACAGGATTATTAGTAGCTTAGTGTGTACTATAAATTTTGGCCATCTATTTGCTCCAATCATGTCTTTGACGATAGATAGGTAAGGCTCTCGAGAAGATACTGGTGGGCTATATCCGCACACCTGCAACCAGCCGACTCGTTCTGGTGTTTGACAAGTAGCGTCTTTACCCAAGGAGTTCTCCGTAATCCGGTCAATAATTGATACTTGGCACCAAAGGGGCAGAGAAGAGAAAATTTAGATTAAGCAGAAAACATATGGATGGCCAGACCAGGTCTTTCTTGGCAAAAACAAATTGTCGGTTCAGCCCCTACTGCAAGCCATCCTAATTATTGGGGGCTAAATTAAGCTGCATACGTAGCAGATTCCAGGGCAGGTCCAATTGGTTGGACCTGATCCCACGCATGCGGGTTTTTTTGTTGCGTTGTTGATTAAACTAATTAATAACATTATCAATCCTTGACTCCCATGGATAAGGCCTGTCACCCGGGTATTAGGGTTCTATTCATTAATCTTATGCAATTGGTATTAGCAATTGAAGCAATTTCCTATCGTATGCGAATGCACACACAACAAAGCATTAACGGCCCGAGATTCAAGCCCTTCGAGTCTCCAAATTCAACAGGATTATGTAAGAAGCATAAAGAGTGGTCAGCTATAAAGTCATCAATTATTATGACAATATACGTATGTATATGTACAAGGTTCTTCCCCGCAAAGTCTACTGCCCTTGGCGCAAATACTTCACAAAAAAAAAAATAGAAAAATACTCAACCGGTCACGTGTTCTCGCTGTCAGCATTCCTAGGTTAGGATGGGATGTTACAATTGACTTACTACCGAGTACTATATCCCACCGGTCCGAAGGAGGGAGAGAAAGTGTGGGGTTGCCATGATGCAAATTTGTCCCTACATACGAACTGTACAGATACTAGTCTGGTTCTGGGACATGTTGTGTTTGATTTTTGTCCACTATACTAACGACCCTTTAAACCTAGGTTATTACTCCCAGTCCTCCATTGCCCCGGGACCCTTTGATACACGGTTAGATTCCACGATCAACTTCCCCACAGAACGGTGTAGATAGTCCACGTGGAGATAGAAGGGCCTAGTTATACAAGCCATCGGACAAACCAAAAAGTATCTATCCTAGTATCCCCGAATAAGGTGATAAGATGTCGTTCTTGGGGGTAATACAGACATCTATTCATTGTTCATTTGGAGGAACTAAGCCCTAGGCACCTACCGTGTTACGTCACTGAAACATGTCCAACCCCACCCAAATGGCAAATTATTCAATATCCGGCAGATAGTGTTTTGTTGCCCAAGTGCATCAATAGCGGGAGAGCTTTTTGGGTGACACGTCGACTTTTCATTTCTTTGGTTCTTGGAAGTTCATTGAGAAGACTGGTAGATGAGTGTTGTTAGATCATGGGAGCGATCGACGACATCGTGTGTACTCCGTACTAGTACAGTACATACATCAAAGCACATATCTTATTTGCTACAAACAAAGACCAAAATTAAAAGAAAATCTACTCCATACTCCAGCCAAAGGCACACAAAAAAGTCATACCCCCAAAAAAAAATAAATAAATTAAGCGTAGAAATCCGAGGATTCACCACGTGGCTCCGCCCAGACCCCCGGTACCGAGTGCCTCTACTGCAGCCGAGTCCCGGGTCATGGTCACCGAGAGTTTCATTGTTTTGATTCGACGAAAATTACTCAGCCTCTGGTTAGAAGTTGGGGAACTCTGGACCAGTGAGGTATGCCATCCATTTACTCCAGAACCTCCCCGGTTCCAGAAGGTAATAAACCAAGGAATCCTTTCGGTTCGGCGGAGCGGAACCCCAGTATCGCAGGAGCCGAAAAATATATTCCGTTGAGAGAAAATAATACCGTGAGGCGAAGAGCTCAGCCAAGGATCCCAAGATACGGGAAAAGGTCCCACTGGGTGGGTGAAGCAGAGTTTCATTTTCTAGACCCCGCGTGCGGAATTGTCGACTATGTGATATCATTCTCATTCTCCCTCTCTCTTGGCGGCGGGGAATGAAGAACACCTCTTGGATCAACACAGCAGAGCGGGAAACCACTGAGGATTAAGGTAAACAACCTTAAAAAAACACCAGAACTGTTGTCATGATCTGCAAGGGAGAACTTTGTTTTTTCTATTCCTTCAGTATACATGCTCAATATTTCGACTGAGACTAAATCTACTTGGTAGTGGGTTCACATGAACCAGCGTATGTATACGACCGGGATTCGAATAGTGTCACGATTTTCTGATGAGAATGCAAAGCCTGACCGCTCCTTCGCTGGAGATCTACCTCCGTGTGTACAATACTTTCCCTTCCCCACAACGCTAGAATCCTGCTGTATTCCCACCAGCAGAAAAATTGTTCACGAAGCTGCGATCGCAGCCGAAGAAATCCTACTTTTTGAGATAGTCTACCAAGTGGATACTATCGACCGGCGTCATGCATCTCGATGGATAGAGAGGTGAGGGGTTTCCGATCTGCATGCATACTTAGTCCCAACTACTGGGTATGTGCAGGAGCCGATATCAAATCGTTCGCATATCTCGACTATCTATCTTGACTAACTCAACCCAACTTCATAGTGACCGTATAAACTTTCCCCGGGTGGACCAGCTTTCGCCATCACTGGACCATGTCGCTATCCGCCGGGTTCCGCTTTCCCAGTTTACATGCCTTGACTCCATTCTCCGTGGTCTGGTGATGAGATGGAAAAAAGTCAAAAGCGACAATCACATTGCGATAGGTGAATTACGCTTATACCTCTTTACTTCCAGAAACTTCCCTTATCCTGTTTACTCACCGACATTTGTTCTTCGTCAACCCTTTAGCTTTAATAATGCCATGCTTGAATTCGAAGCGCATCCCCTCAAACCACCGGTGCTAGAACGCATTCTCTAGCAGAATGGATCATACAGACGATCCAAGTCGGTGAGGGGTCTTGTGTGGTGGAGATAACTCTATTGGAATATCACTGGGTACCCAGGGGCAGAGCGACTAGTTGGCTGAATATGAGAATATTCGAAACCGTGAGACAAGAAAAGATTTTATTCGAACTTTTCCAGTGACTCCATATAGTGCCTATGGGAGCCTAGGGCATACCTGTAAATGATCCAGTAATTTTCCGAGTGGCTTTGCTATGGCAACTCGGGACATAATCCCAGACACTAACAACACATCTAGCAATTCTACAAGATGTAGCATGGCGCGAACAGAATAGCCAAATATCCAATGAAATATATATGATGTATGTACAGTCTAATCTAGTTCAGTCAACTCTATCACACAGCCTAAACGCCCGACATATGCAATGCAATGCAAAGAAAACACACATTAACAAAGCAGAATAGCTCAAGCAGCCACCTGTACCTGTGCAGCCTTGAATTCCTCACTGAACTCATAATCAGTATACCCCTTGGGGTCCTTGACCAGATAAAACTTCTCCCTCTCATATGCCCTCAAAGGAATGCCCGACTTGATCTTAAACGGTAAATCCGGGTTCGAGGTGAATGGCCTCCCCATAGCCACAAGGGTATCATAATCCTTATAGCGGAGGTCAACAGCCTCCTCAGCCGACTTAGCCTTATACCCACCGGCAACAATAACAGGACCGGCATTCTCATAAGCACGGAAGAAGAAGTCCAACGACTCCCCGCCCGCAACATCAACATCGGTATTACCTGCAATGCGCGGCTCAACAAGATGCACATAGGCAAGGTTGAACTCCCTCGTCTTGCGCGCAAGGTATTCAAACTGGGGGACGGGGTCAGCCATCCGCATGGCTTGGAAGGTACTAAACGGGCTGAAGCGAATTCCGGTCCTATCGGCGCCAATAGCCTCAGTCACGGCGCGGGTAACCTCAAGGGCAAACCGGGCGCGGTTCTCCACGTTGCCGCCCCAGGCATCCGTCCGCTGGTTGGCCGTATCCTGTGTAAACTGATCAATCAGGTAGCCATTGGCGCCGTGGATCTCGACGCCGTCAAAGCCCGCTGCGATGGCATTCTTCGCCGCCTGGGCGTAGTCGGCGATGTACTCGCGGATCTCACCTTCGGAGAGAGCGCGGGGAATGGGACCGTCAGGGCTAGAAGGCACGGCACTGCTGGAGACGAGATCGTAGCCTTCTTTCTTGAGAAGGGTTGGGTCGGCGACGCGGCCGAGGGCCCAGAGCTGCATGAAGATATACGAGCCCTTGGCGTGCACGGAGTCGGTGACGGTGCGCCATGCAGCGATCTGGGCTTCACTCCAGATACCGGGGACATTGGAGTAGAGACCTGCGCGGGGGGAGATAAGGGTGGCTTCGGTGATGAGGAGGGTACCCGGGACAGAGGCACGTTGTTCATAGTGTTCTTTGACAATGGGCAGGGGCACGTGGTCATCGTCGTTGCGGAAACGGGTCAACGGGGCCATGGTGATGCGGTGGGCGAGTTGCATGCGCCCGACTTGGAGGGGGGTGAAGAGTTTGGAGGTGGACATTTTTTTCTGAAATGATCTTAATGTGATTCAACTGAAAGTTATTCTTCCCTTTTTCCTTGTTTTTCGAAGGGACGCTTTGGAGAATTGAGCAAAAAGTACGGCTTTTTATAATTGGTATACTTAGATCTTGATTTCCAATCATTGGGTTCACGTAAGCCACTTGACAAAGCTAATTTTAAATCTCGGGAGTCGGCACGTGTTTTGCTAGAACTTTCAGTCAGTATATTACTAGAATCTTAGTAATGGAGTTCCATGATTAATGATCTTTTTCTTTCTGTTAGTAGTCCTCACTTTGATCACGTATAGAAATACTCATACCACAGTATGGCAGAGATTCGATGCATGTATGGACTGAACTGAGCTGTACATCAAATTTCTGCTGGATGCTTAAGCTTATCTGATAATCGCCACCGTTCGGAAATTTTACCCCCGAAGACTAACCCAACAACGATAATCCGAACTCATCGCAATTAGTACAAGAGAAGATATCGACACATACAGATGGAACAAAGCTAGTATATATATGTACTCCGTCGCATTATATTGCCGAATCTCGGAATTTAGCGCCTCCCCCATGCTAAGAAAAGCGTCAATTGCCCGTGAATCATCCTGAACACCTTATATGCTATCCTGTTTCGGCCTTCCTCGCCACTAGTAGAGAAGAAATCAAAAGTCAAAGAACGAAGTATCCAAAAAAAAGGTAAAAATAAAAAAGAAATAAAAATATAAAGAAAAGGAAAGTTCACGGAACCCAAGGTATACTGCCATCGCGGTCATACATAATCATCACAGAAATGGCGAAACTGTTGCAATGCTGCGGGGTATTTGAGAACGGAAATCGAAGAAGAATCAAAAATCAACTTTCAAGGGTTCGTGCGGCAGCTTCAAGCTGCGCATTAAACGCCTTAATTTGGCTCAAGAGCCCCCCCTGAGCCCCAGGGGCGCGGGAGCTCACGTTCTCCGCAACGCTTCGGAGCATGAACTCGAGCCCGACAGTCAACAACGGATCGGACGAACCTTCCTCGTCCGAGTCGCCTGCAGGTCGGTTCTGGCCTCGTTCAAGCGCTAGATTTAGGCTGTGTAGGGAATGGTTGATATTGGAGCGGGCCTTACACAGTGTTAGCTACAGGGTCACCAAGGGCATCGTTGCGTAGACCGACTTACCAGACTTGCATTTTCCTCCTCCGAATGCTTCCTTCGAACGGCATCCATCTGCAATGCCACCCCCTCTCTTTGTTTTCGTAGTTGATACAGCCGGCTGCGCATATCCAGCATTTCCCGCTTAGCCTTTTTCAGACTTACACCCAACATGAAGTTACTGTCGAGCATTTCACTTAGCTCAAGAAGCCGTCCTTCGAGCTCCGTGCCAAATGCTTCTACTGCTTTCTTCTTGGTAGTCCATTCCGAGCGCCGTGCTGCATTGTTCTCGTTAGAAATTCCGTTCTTGAGAGTTGTAAGCGTCTTCTCCAGTGTTTCTCGGCAGATCTGACTAAGTACATCGGCGACATTCACGCCTCCCCTACTAGGGAGTTTGGTCTTCCGTCTCGTGGAGAGCTCATCGGCGGACTCTTCTTCCTCGTCTGATAGCTCGGAGGGTTGGGAATAGCCTCCAAGAGAAGCGGCATTGGCGAGGCGATGCACGGTCACGGGGACTGTTTCCCCACGAGGTTGTCTGGCCTTCCTTCTTGCGCTGCGAGGAGCCTCCTCCCCATGTTCATTCCGAACCGTAGGATCTTCCTCTGGCTGGGTTTCTTCAGGAGGCTTATTAGATAGTGATGGTCGGCCACGACCACGTTTGGAGACTGAAGTTGGCTTTGGCTCTCTTGGAGCATCAGGTGGCCGCTCGGGTTCAGGCTCTGGCTCTGGCTCCTGTTCCAACCTTCTTCGCCTTCTCTTCTCACTAGCTGCTTTTTGCTCCTTTGGAGTCTCGGGTTCGGGCTCACTCTCTGGCTCCTGCTCCTGCGCTGACCTCTTCCTCCGTTTCCTCTTCTCGAGAGGTGGCTCTGGTTCCTTTGAAGTCTCAGGTCCAGGTTCTGGTTCAGCCTCTGATTCACTCTCCTGCTTCTGTGCTGACCTCTTGCCCTGTTTCCTCTTCCCGGCAGCATGGTTTTGCTCCTTTGAAACCCCAGGTTCGAGCTCAGCCTCCGGTTCTGGCTCTGGTTCTGGCTCCAGTGATGACCTTTTCCTCCGTTTCCTCTTCTCGAGTGGTTCTGGTACCTTTGAAACTTCGGGTTCGGGTTCTCGTTCTTGGTCGGGTCTTTTTCTCCGTGTCCGCCTCTTGGCAATTGGATTGGATTCCTTTGGAGCTTCAGGCTCACGCTGGGCGTCAGGCTCAGACTCCAGCTGCGGTTCTGGCTCCTGCTCTGACCTGCGTCTTCGTCTTTTCTTCTTGCCAATTGGTTCCGGCTCCTTTGGAGCTTCAGATTCTTTCTCTAGTCCAGGTTCAGGTTGCTGCTCGGGCTCCGACCTCTTTCTCCGCCCCTTTTTCTCGCCGGCTGGTTTAGATGCTTCTACACTCTCCAGTTGCTCGGAAGATTTCTTGCCTGGACGTCCGACTTGCTTTGGTTCATGATTCAGTTCCGATGACTTTTGACGCAGCTGGCGGCTACTTTCATGGGAATCAGTATCGCCTTCCTCCGGCGCGTTATCCTCGTCCAGAGGCTGGCCGTTTGATGTTTCACTCGCAATGGGAACTGCCATAGGTTGCTTTGCTTTTCTTCCTCGAGGTCTTTCCGTTGTCTGTTGCTGGGTAGATATGCTCTCGCCTCGCACGCTTTCGGTCGAGGCAGCCTCACTGTGTGCACTTCCCCCATCTGTGGCTGGGGATGATTGCGTTGATGTTCGAGGTCTGTCTCTCGGTCGTTTCTCAGGCTGGGATCTTGGAGACTCTGCTTCCGTAATTTGGTCACGATTCACCTCCGACGGTGGCTCTTGTGGCGCTAGTGTTTGAATGCTGTCGTTGGCAGTCTCCAGTCCCTCAACTCTCTGGGACCGGCGCTGATCGGCACTAGACCCCCGTTGTTTGTGCTTACCCTTTGCAGTGTCTTCGAGTACAGGTGTTCTGTCTGCTTCGGGTGGTTCTCTTTGGGCTTCCGGAGACTTCTGGTTCGCATCGCTACGATCTGGATGCTCGTCCGCCAGGGGTGGCGCCTCGGGTGCGGGGTTATCCGGCACCATCGCAGTAGTTGAATCCAGCGTTTCTTGAAGTATCTGCTCCGTTTGAGGTGTATCTGCAGGATTTGGAATGGCTGGGGATTCGTCGCGTAGTTCTTTAGGTTCACTGAGAACAGGGCTGGTTTGTTCGGTGCCATTCTGAAGGTCCGGCGAATCTCGTTTTTCATGTTGCGCAATTTCTTGATCGGCGGATGTTGGTGAAGTCCGAGTAGGGGGCTCTATGACGACATTAGATGACTTTGTATGCCCATGGTATTGTCCTATGCACGCACCGATCTTTCTTCTCTTACCGCTTCGCCCGAGGTCTAGCGCATCATCGTCCGGTATGTCGAATGTTGACGGCCGTTCGGGAAGTGAATTACGCGCCCCGCCTGGAGTTCGTTGTAGAGGTACATGCTTTTTTGATGATGGGGGTTGTATTTCCGGCAATAACAGAGGAGCTTGTGTATTCTCCGAAGCTGAAGGTACCGATGGTGGTGCGTGAGGTTCAATCGTAGTGTCAACATCGGCGGGTTGCGGTGCGGCCTCTTCGGTCGCGGGGGCGAGGCCAAAGGAGAATCCAAAGTTCACTTCCTTGATCCTGCGTGTTCTAATCCATAAAATGCAGCATTAGTTATTTATTATCCTGTCCGATCGGTCGCGGGGTAAGAGAGGCGCGTACCCTGCACCGCGCTGCCGCATTTGCAGCCGCTCCTCTCGATCTGCAGCTCTCGTTAGTTTGGATACAAAACACTATGACTACATTAAGGGGGCCGTACTGGAAGCCATGATTGAGAAGCGGCGCCTTGCCGAGCTCAACGCGCAATCTCACGCTGTTTGTTTCCAAGGAGGTGTTGCGCCGAAATCAATGATGGGGCGTGTTATGCATCATACTTTCGGGGATGCTGAGTTACCGAAATGGAATAGTTTGGTGGTTTCTTCTTCGGGAAAGGCGTGGCCTTGACGCTTGGCATCAACTATATGGAGTAGGAGTAGGAGTAGGGACCTCAAGTCCTTGTTCCAGTACTTCTCTAGTGGTTAGTTGAGATGTTTTATATTAGTCTCTTTCAGTGTAATACCTAGTTCTCTTCTCGGGGAGTCCGTGAGGTACAGGCAAAGATAGAATTGGACAATCTAAGTACAAGAAAGTCATATGATGAAATAAATATATATATCCACTTCAAAGCCATGTATTGAGGCATTAGAGTAGTTTTCAGGTACCAGGTGCGAGAAGTAGACCTCGAATATAGCAATAATTGAATGAGCATATCATGAGTATGGAATTTCTGAACCTGCAAGGAAAAGCGTGAAGCATAGAAGAAGTAAAAGAAAGTAATGATGATTTATTGCCATTCGGCCCAAAACGGTTTGGTGGCTTCTGCTCCGCCCCAAGAAAGTCGATCACCAAGTAAGTTCTGCTCCGCATATTCTTTTCGCTATCAGTTCTAGAAAATTGATTGACGCCAACAGCGATCGGACGTCACTACCTCTCGCTCAGATATCTAGAACTTATCGCATCCATGGGTTGGTTTTGGGGTAACTCGAATCAGGAAGACCCGGTCAAGAGGCTCGACCCCGGTCTCCGAGAATACCTCGAACATGAAGCTCCAAAGAAATATGTCCCTACAGCCGCACAGGATCCTCCCAAAACAGTAAACCAACAGGCTCAATCGTCGCAACAATCAGCTGCAAGCGAAGCTGCTGATTCCTCGAAACCGTCCGTTCCCTCCGCCTCTCTTTTCCCCGACGGCCGCTATGCCCATCTCTGGAAGACCTACAAGCCACCTAATGACGAAGGCACCGAGGCGAAGGGTGCTTCCCGGGTGATCGAGAAATTCAAGTCGCGCAACGATACCGTACACCGTGCAGCAATGGAAAATTGCGCATTGGAACATGAGGATCTGACACTGTGCTTCCAAAACGGTAACTTGCGGAAACGAATTATGTCTCGTATGACTCTGTGTTCTGAAGAAAATGGGAAGTTCTCTCGGTGCTTTACTACGCAAGCTGTAAGCGAAGATTATTTCATTGACCCCTTTCTGCTTTCGTTGCGGTCGCTGCTTAGGCAATTGCTTATACATGGACAGAAATTTCTCCAGGCCCTGGGCTACGCATCCTCATTCGATTCGGATGACGAGAGAGAGGAACGGATTCAGATGCATGCGGACAAACTCTACCACGAGATGCTGGATTATGAGAAGCAAGTTGAAGAGGCCCGAGCGGCTGGCCAGGAACCACCGCCTCTTACATCCCTCTTCAACCCTAAGGCTCGATCCCAACAGCAGAAAGCTGAGAGTACCACGGGCTCCCTGGAAATCCCTGGTGGCGAAGCTATTCCGTCCGGGTTCAAGCCATCCAAACCACTGGAACAGCTCACCCCACATGAACGCGAGCTGGAGATCCGAGCCCACTATGCACAATTAGAGCAACAGAAGATATACGCGCAAGAAGCATCTCCATTTTTGAAGACGCATGATGACGCGCGGCAGAAACGACGAGAGAAAGCCGTGAGCTGGTTTGGAGAGACGGTGGGCAAATGGGTCACATAAATTAAATTTACAAAAAAAATCGACACTTGACGGGTTTCATGAGTGTTCTGAAAGGGGTTCGCTCTTTTGTATTATTACTACTTTTTTGTTGTTATTGTTTCTCGTTATTACCCAATACCTACATGGTTTAGAAGATGAAGGCGCATTCTTGAGAGCATTTGAGATTGATATATATGATATGACATATATGATAGCCAAGGATGGCACATAAGAGAAAGAAAGAAATGAATGTTATGGATTTCATAAAGATATTGGCTATAGTTATGTATACTAAAAAGTAAAGACAGAGAAATAGAACTATAGTAGAATGGATGAAATGCTGACGGTCACGCCGTTGTTCATTTGTTCGGGCGCGTTCGAGACACGAAAGAAAGTCCGACACGGGAAATGACGAACTTCACTTCGTGACCAACTTGTTTCCCTTCTTTGAAACCTCTTGGTTGTTGTGCTAATATCTCGGGTAGTTCCTCCCTTATGAAATAAACCCTCCTCCAAACTACTCCCTCAACTTGTGTGGCGGTTCGTCGGCCAACTTCCTCCGATCTGATTTCCCTTCTCTTGTTCCACGGCTCCCTGATCAACCACTACTACTCTACTCTCTCCTCCCGCACCGTCCTGCAACAACTCCACCCCCATCTTTCATTTTAACGCAACATCGCTCTTCCCTGTTAAGCCCCGACTTAAACAAGATAAACCTTGGTCACCATTAGTCAGTCCCTGGGGAGCCCATTGAGCTTCCGTGCTCACCATGAAGGCTACCCCGTTGCTCATCGCATGGCACAACGATAATGCCCCAATCTACTCGGTTCATTTCGACCCCAATGGCAAAGGTCGTCTGGCGACTGCCGGAAAGTATGATTATATATTCGATTAATGTCTCTTGAGGATCGGCATGCTAATCTGTATGGGCTCTATAGTGACAACAATGTCCGCGTACGGTCCCCTCACCTTACCTTTCCCCTCGTGACCCCCTTCTTGTGATCATTGCCACCATTTCTGACAGAGACTACCACACAGCTATGGAGAGTAGAATCGACAGGCGAAGAACGAAAGGTGTCCTATCTGAGCACCCTGGTCAAACACACACAAGCCGTCAATGTCGTTCGGTTTAGTCCAAAAGGTGCGGCTATCAATCCTTCACGCGGGGAAAGTTTCCCAGTGGTATCTAACGTCTCATCTAGGCGAGATGCTGGCATCTGCCGGGGACGACGGTAATGTGCTTCTCTGGGTACCGTCAGAGCTGCAAACCCAGGCTCCACTGGGAGAGGATCGGTCGGACGATAAAGAGACATGGAGGGTGAAGCATATGTGCCGCTCATCTGGAGCTGAGATATATGACCTAGCTTGGTCTCCAGATGGCGTATTCATCATCACGGGGAGTATGGATAACATCGCGCGGATATATAATGCCCAAACAGGTTGGTTTCATATGATTTCGTATTTTTCAGGCCCTGGATGCTGATTCTTGATCTCTTAGGACAAATGGTGCGCCAGATCGCGGAGCATTCGCATTATGTTCAAGGAGTAGCTTGGGATCCCCTCAACGAATTCGTTGCTACTCAATCATCGGACCGCTCTGTGCATATCTATAGTTTGAAGACGAAGGATGGCCAGTTCACCCTTACCTCTCACGGCAAATTTCTGAAGATGGATCTACCAGCCAAGCGCATCTCGTCTAGCAGCCCGGCCCCCCAGGATACTTCTGTTCGATCTCAGCCGCCTGCCAACACTTCAGCTGCAATCACGTCCCCAGCGCCGTCGACTCCGGGCACGCCTATGGCTAACCTGCCAATGGATCCTCCACCTGTATCACATAGCCGCCGGTCCTCATTCGGCTCCTCTCCATCGATTCGTCGCTCTGCGTCCCCGGCACCGTCCCTACCGCTACCTGCGGTCAAACCCCTGGAAGTACCGTCACCGGGGCTCCTAGGTGGTCTGGGCGTCAAAAATGCTAACATCTATGCCAACGAGACTTTCACCTCCTTCTTCAGACGATTGACTTTTGCTCCCGATGGCAGCTTGCTGTTTACGCCCGCGGGCCAATACAAAACTTCGCATGCGTCTGCGACAGATCCCACCAAGACTACGGACGAGATCATCAATACCGTCTACGTTTACACTCGCGCAGGTTTCAACAAACCTCCAATCTCCCATCTTCCTGGCCATAAAAAGCCATCCGTTGCAGTGAAATGCTCTCCAATCTTTTATACCTTGCGACAGGCTCCTCAGCCTGCTCGTCATATCACTTTGGATACCTCTTCTGGGGAGGAGACATTTGCCTCTTTACCTGACCCGGTAGTAAATTCAACAACTGACCGTTCTCCTATGGAGCCTCCGTCATCGGCACATACCACTGACGAAAAGCCCAATCAAATTTCGAAAGATGAGAGCCCTTCCACCACTCCAGGGCCAATGCCTGTTTTCTCCCTGCCATATCGAATCGTATACGCCGTGGCTACTCAGGACTCTGTCTTGGTTTATGATACTCAGCAACAAACCCCGATATGTGTAGTCAGCAATTTACATTTTGCCACATTTACTGATTTGACATGGTAAGCTTATTCTCTTGCCCCGACAGCATCATGTCTTAACAGCTATTAGGTCGAATGACGGCTTGACATTGATCATGAGTTCGTCGGATGGTTTCTGTTCTACCCTCTCGTTTGCACCGGGAGAGTTGGGTCAACCTTATACTGCTCCTATATCAACTGCTCACCAGACTGGGACGTCTGGGTCCATGGGTCACACAGCAAACTCGGCGAAACCAAGCCCGGCCATCGCTCCAGGCAACACAACTCCAATGGCGCCGGTTCCTCCGGCAAGCCCTGCGCGGTCAAACTCTGTATCTTCGATTGCTACACAGTCTACTGCTGCGCAGCAAACCACGGGGTCTGTTGTCAACAATCCTACACCAACACTCGGGTCTGTGCCGCTAGTGACAGCAACGCATTCATCACAACCGCCAACTCTACCACTGAATACGCCGCCGCAGACACCCATGTCGGCCGCCTCCCAAAGTGGGACAAGCACCGTCAGCAACAGTGTCCTAGGCAAGAGAGCTAGTGAGTCCGAAAAAGAAGAAATTAAGGATCAGAGTTCCGTTCCACAAGTACAACCGCCAAAGAAGAGACGAGTAGCACCGACCCTCGTTTCCAGTGGCAACGGCCCCTCTTCGAAAGATGAGTCTCGGAACACCGACGTTGGTGGCTAATGTTGCTTGTTTCACCAAGCTTCATTTGAACCCTCCCAGACCGATGTATAAAACTTTGTTCTCTTGCCTGTTGAGATTGCGGATGACTCGAGTGCATACGATATCTTTGTCATGAGTAATGTGTCTTTTCCTTTCGTTCCACAAGATTTCGTATCATGTTTACGTCCTGTGGGATTCACCTACCGTGTTCTGGGATCTTGGTAGAGTTTTAATATTGTCATGCATCTGCTCACTCTTGGCGCTTCTCGTGCTTTCCTACTTCCCTCCTTTTATCATTCGTTATCATCCAATCGACACTCTTTTTCCGGGATACCTCTACATCTGCGGTCTTCCTACCCTATTTTCGTCGAATAAGCTCGCAATAATTGGGCGTGAGGTTGGAATTTATTGGTATTATTATTCTACGGCTGTTTCCTTTACCTTTTTACTTTTTTGGTCCTTGTGCTTCATGCTACGAATTGCGTTGTCATGTGCAAGGAAAATATTTAGCCGGTGTGTGGTATATGCTATGCTTCTACGGTTGAGACCTAAACAGACTACTCGACGGTTACCTTGTGTATGCTACATGATATTCCTTGGGAGCAAAAATATTGTTCTTGACACGGCTACTCTGTGTTGATATCCGATATCCAATGTTTTATTCTTCTTATTCTTCTTTACCTTGACTGGCAACCTATTGAGTAAGAATAAAAATGCATTTTCTTCTAGACACACATTACCATTATATCCCTCCAGAAATCGTTTATCTTAGGAAATAGCCAAATTTAGACAAATTTAGACAAATTTAGACAAATTAAGGAAAATGATGAGAATCTTGAAACTACGTGTGCTCCAAGTGAAACCGAAAATAAGGTCTTGGGCGATAATGTTGGTCGAGTGCGGGCTGAGAGTCTGTTCAAGCAGCGTGAATATCTCCGTTGACCCCGTTGATTCCGTTGACTCATTTAAGTCCGTTGACCCCGTTGACCCCGTTGACCCCGTTCATCCCATTGCACCCCTTCTCGTCAGGATAGTCATAGCCACCGTTTGTTATTGGGGAACACAGAGTGTTTACAACATTTGCCACACTCATGTCGCTGGGGAGTACGGCTTTGGCCTCGGTGGCATGCTCGCCGACGGTGAGTGTGGTAACACTTGGGATCATGCCACTGGACTGTAAGCGGTTTGCCCATCGGAACAAAGCTTCATCGCCGCGGGAGCCGCCCGCCACGAATAGGAAGTCTGGAAGTGGGCCTAACTGGTCCATGATGAACTCGGCAGCTTTTGCTTTTGTTATATCCAAAGGTTCAACGCTCACTGCACCATCTGTAAGTACAATGCGGATGGCTTCGCTACCACGCGTACCATTGATTTGATCAGCAAGATCGGAGGCCTGTCGGGCAGCGATTTCGGGGTCTTGAGCATTGTTATACAAAAAGCTTAGTATGCAGCGTCGCTCTTCCAACTGGCTCCCTTCGGTCCTCTCCTGGTAGTACTGAATCACTTTGCGGATCCCGTTCCTCCAGTCTTTGGCTCTTGCCATGTCTACCAACGCCTTCCATTGAGTTTCTCCAATACCGCGTACGAAGCAGCCGTTTTCGGCGACGAGTCCCACCCGAGTGGAGACTCCTTCAAGGCTCGATTCAAGCTGTTCTGGGCTTTTGTTACTGGTCACGTAAACCATGTTCTTAGGATCAAGAAGCAGACGGTCCAGGAGAGAGACCAAAGTAATGGATAGCTTTGAGTCATCGCATTGAAAAACTCCATCATCCTCGAGAAAGAATAGCCGTAAGTGGGATTTTTCATATGCTTCTTGCAAGGTGCGTACCGGTAGGGACGAGACTTGACTCAGCTCGCGGGATAACTGCGTGCTGTGTGCTTTGTGAAGAGCTGTCTGAAACGAATTGTACCAGGCGATGGCCGTGTATGGTGCCTTTTTCTCAAGCAGATACTCCCAGTTATGCTGTTTCTGATCTGGCGACATCTCCAGTGCCTTGTAAATCGTATCTGCAACCTCTCTGTAGTCCCATGGATTGACAAGCAGACCATGGCCACTGAATATGGAAGCGCTTCCTGTGAATTCACTAAGAATGAGAGATCCGTGGTGCTGCGAAGTAATTTTTCCATCTTGACAGTGGATGTAATCGTGACTTGTAAGGTTCATGCCCTCCCTCAGACTGGTTACCATGAAGATATCAGCCACGCTCATTAAAGCCAAAAACTGCGAATAACTGATGTCTTGTCTCAAGAGTACAAGAGGTTGGTGCGTCAGTGTCGAATACGCTGAATTTATTCTCATAGCAATCTTCGAGACTTGCGCCTCTAATTCAGGCAACTCCGACGCCGAAGCGACTTGAACAAGGACAACCTGGGTTAATTAGCATATAGAGCCTAGGACAAAGGGGATGGTTCAGCTCAAACATACATTGTCTCTCCATTTCGGATATCTCTTCAGGAACAGCTCATAAGCTAAAAGCTTTTGTTTGATACCACCAGGAGCATCAAGCCTATCTCGAGCGACGATCAAACGTTTCCCACTATATCTGGAGATTATGTTGGTAATCCAATCCTTTACCTCGGCTGTCTGACGCAGCTCATCGAGCGCTTGGATGTCAATCCCAATAGACGAACGTTTCACGTGGACAAAGCGTTGTGGAAGTTGAACCCCGTCGACGGACACTTCTAAACTGAGCAACCTGCTACACGATTGAAGAAAATGGTAGCAGTACTCCTCTGTTTGGAAAGACACAAGATCAGCGCCCAGAAGACCGCTGAGTAAAGCGCCTCGTGCATTGAGACACCTAAAAATTTCAGAAGAGGGGAAGGCGGCATGCATGAAGAAGCCAATTTCTGCCTTTGGCAGCTTTTCTCGGAGCATTGATGGCAGGAGCAGAAGATGATAGTCGTGGATCCAAATACTATCACCGGGGCGCCAACACGCTGCGATGGTGTTTGCAAACGCTTCATTCACTTTCACATACTGCTTCCAGGAGTAGTCGTCGTATTGGGTGTGTCGGGGGCTTTCTTGCATTTGATAATGAAAAGCTGGCCAAAGGACAGCACGGCAAAAATGCGAATAGTGCCCTTCAAACTCATCATCGCCGACGAAGACCGTGAGGGAATTATAGTCATCCTCGAGTGTCTCTGCGATGCTAGCGCGTGTTTCATCTTTGAGTGAATCGGTCGGCATACCCAGTGTGCCTACCCACATTTTGTCTGACAGGATTCCTGCTCTTTCAGCAGCATTGACAGCGTTGCGTAAACCACCATTACCCTGTTCTGCTGCTTTCACAACCCAATCATGATCACAGAGTAACGCGCGCGGACTTCCAGGATCCTCTTCTGAATCTGGGGTCAGCAGTACCCCATCAAGGTATAATGGCTGGTCATCTTCGTCTGCTAGGTTTGGACGGCTTAGAATCGATGGCGCAGGAGGACCCGTAGCCTTGGAACGAGGTTGATTAAATTTACGGCTCTGACCCCAAGAAATGACACGAGGTTCACTGGGGCCAGGGCCGTAGGGGTCATCCGCGGAAGGGATCTCGCCTGCAGCACGCGAGATGTAGGGCTTAAAGATCTTCTCATCTTCCGTCGTAGCGCCAGGGGTGAGAGATAAACTGTAACCTCTCGAGTGGCGTTTCCGTCGGGTCTCAGCGAGACGGCCTACAATCCGGTCATCTGAATGCGAGTAGCTGGTGGATGATTTCCGTCGATGCCTGTATTCTGTGGCACGGAAGTCAATGGTATAGGGGAGAAACCTATTAAGACCAGTTAGAATGCCAGTGAAACAAAGAGAGAACTCGAAAGAGAACACTTACAGTGAAACGAGAAAGACCGTCATGGATTCGACGTTTTGAGAGTTTGGGATTTCTACCGAAGTTGAAGAAAGAATCTAATTGTGAGTCTATCCACTGTCAAAGAAGAAGAATGCAAATTAAAGTTGACATATACAGTTTGTGGTTAGGTAGTTGAGGAGATGTACATCTGGATTTATCGGACCAAGGGATGTGAAAGGCTGAAGAACTCTATATTCTATATGTTTTTGCAAACCAATGGAAAAGCGATCCTGAAACTTCCGGCGGGTAATCGTTTGGCACCCAAGCAGCATAGTGAATGACCGAAGATCTGGGTGATTGGGCCATGGAACGGATGTTGAAGCAGGTAAAAGTGAAAAAAGAACATTCTGGGCTTTTCGGTGTTGCGACACCAGGGAAGGGAAAAAGCAGGTGATGGATGCCTCAAAGGAGGGGTATCATTTTTTCTGCCTTGGCCATGACTCGGGCGCGGGGCTCGTCCGATGGAATGATGGAATTGAGACTATTGGTGTCACAACGCAGCCAACCGCATCAGAAAGACACAGAACCTGCTTGGAAACGTTGGAACAGTTCGTCCTCAATTCAAGCCCATTGTCCAATGGTATCCATGACGTCTTGATTCCCGGGATGATCCGCGGGTCGCTTTTTACCCACCACGCTAAGATAGCGTTAGGCGATGATTCTCGTCAGTTCGACAAGTCTAGACCCACGACTCTCTTTCTATCAATCAGGGAAATTTTTCCTGCAGGAGAGAAGCACATGGAACCCGACGAGTCATTCAGTCATAAGGGATTATGAGGGATAATTGGGCAGAAAAGCATCAATGGAGGGGGATGATGGGGAAGGGGAAGAAAGAAAAAAGAGGAAAAGAGGAGAAGGATTGGAAGTGGATACTCTACAATACTGAAAAGAGGCAAAAAGGACCTTAAGCCTGTTTTGGGCCGCAGAAGACAAAAGACTCAAACATTAGTAGACAGAGAGCATCACGTTGCTTCTCTTCCTTTGTTGATTGATATCAATCAATTTACCAGCTCATCGCCACCTCCAACTTCTTTCTTCGTATATCTCCTCCTCGAATAAATAATACGATCGTCGTAACCCTATCTACCGTACTAGTTAATTCTTTTCTCTCAAGATTCCGTTGCTCATTTCCAACCCCTTACACCCTTCTTCTCCATGGCCACTGTCGACTCATTGCTGGGCGACTCACGCCTCCTGATTGCCTCCAATCGTCTTCCTATCACAATTAGACGATCTGGACATGGCAAATATGAATTCTCTATGTCTTCCGGTGGGCTAGTGACCGGGTTGAGTGGTCTCTCAAAGACAACAACTTTTCAGTGGTACGGTTGGCCCGGATTGGAAGTGCCGGAGGATGAGATCCCTTCTGTGAAACAGAGACTCAAGGATGAATTCAATGCAACTCCAGTGTTTATGGATGACAAATTAGCGGATCGACATTACAATGGCTTCTCCAGTAAGTGCCTTTCCTCAGCTCCCGGCGCCAGTGTCTGACTTGCAGCCAAACCCCCCCCCTTCTCTGGCGCCCTAGCAGCAGGACCGTGCTAAAATAACTCACTAGATTCGATCCTCTGGCCCCTGTTGCACTATCACCCTGGTGAGATTGTGTTTGACGAGGGTGCTTGGGATGCCTACCGAGAGGCAAATCTTCTATTCGCCAAGACTATTGCTAAGGAGGCCCAAGAGGGTGACCTGGTCTGGGTGCATGACTATCATCTCATGCTTCTTCCAGAATTGCTTCAAGAGCAACTTAGTCTCCTGGGAAAGAAGAACATTCGAATTGGATTCTTCCTCCACACACCATTCCCCAGCAGCGAGATCTACAGAATCTTACCAGTCAGAGCAGAACTCCTGCGAGGCTTATCGCATTGTCAATTGATTGGCTTCCACACCTACGACTACGCACGTCATTTCTTAAGTAGCTGCGCTCACATACTGTATGTATATCAAGCTTTCTTATCAGGTTACGGGATCAGCTGACAGTCCCTCTAGCGGATCGGTGACAACCCCTAGTAGCGTGAAGTACGAGGGTAGGACTATCAATGTGGGAGCTTTCCCTATTGGGATCGACCCCGACAAGTTCACTGAAGGCTTGAAGAGCCCAAAGGTGCAAAATCGCATCGCAAGCCTAGAAAATAAATTCCAGGGAACAAAGTTGATGGTCAGCGTTGATCGCCTCGACTATATCAAGGGCATTCCTCAGAAGTTACATGCACTAGAAGTCTTTCTCCAAAACCATCCAGAATGGGTGGGCAAAGTCGTTCTGGTTCAGGTGGCTGTCCCAAGTCGTCAGGATGTGGAAGAGTACCAGAACCTGAGAGCAGTAGTAAATGAGCTAGTGGGAAGAATCAATGGCAAATTCGGTATGCCCTTATGATACTCCCATCATAATGCCACACTAACAAGTACCATAGGGACTGTGGACTATATGCCTATCCACTTCATGCACAAGTCAGTGAGCTTCGACGAACTTATTGCTCTGTATGCGGCATCGGATGCCTGCATTGTTTCTTCGACAAGAGATGGAATGAACCTGGTATCCTTCGAGTACATTGCAACTCAACAGAAACGTAAAGGCGTTCTGATACTGTCTGAGTTTGCCGGTGCTGCTCAGAGCCTTAACGGAAGCCTTGTCGTTAACCCATGGAATACCGAAGATCTAGCGGAGGCGTACCACGAGGCAGTTTCGATTACCGAAGAAAAGCGTGCCATTCAATTCTCGAAGCTCTACAAGTATATTTCGAAATACACAAGGTATGTCTATACCCGACCGGGCTTATTTTTCTTTAGCAATATTAACGCCGAGTACAGTGCTTTCTGGGGTCAGTCATTTGTGGCTGAGTTGTCTCAATGCAAGTCATTGATAGACTAAGAACTGTCTCCCCTTCGTTCTTTTCTATCTTCCTCAGTACAGACAAACGTACGACACATATTCCTTTTCGTAGCGGCATAGCAAATGATTGTAATACATAGATCGAATGACGATCTAACGAAACCTATCAACAGTCATATTTTAGCTCAGTATAAATAGCCATAATGACAGTGAACTGGTGTTGACGGAATGCCAATGCGCGGAGTTAATTCATTAGTGTCCTACTAATCTTGCTTACAATGGAAGCTCATCATGTCCCCAGCTGGGTACAAACCTTTTTACACACAGAGAAAAGGACCACAGGCAGAACGGCCATCTATTTATTTATGAGGCCTGGTCACAAGATCCTCACCCCCCTTATCCAAGTGTATCAAAGACACAATCCCAACAGATAATCTATTGCCAAGCACCCGCATTCTTCTTAACAAATTCAGCAAAAGAAGTCGGTTTAGCATCAAGAAGCTTCAAGCTCTCATCTAGGCCCTGCCCAAGGAAATACCCAGGCGACTCAATCAACAGATGGTTCTCCAGAAACTCCTGCGCCACGGGCGGCGGAAGAACAGCTTTATATTGATCAGCGGAGACCGACACAAAGACAGCCTTCTTGCCCGCAACCTCGGTGAAGATGTCAACAATCTCCTGGGCGGTATAATAATCCACCGCCGCAAGAATCTGCTTCCCGTTCAATTCGGCAGCATGCTTAATAGCAGCTTTAACGAAGAGACCTATTCATCGTCAGACATACTCAATCCCAGTCTATACCCATGGAAAGTGGGACACAGAACTTACCGGTATCACTCGCAGCATCGAATAAGGGAAACCGAGCCTTAGCCCCATCAACGGGGTAAAGGAGCTGGTAAGCACCATCCTCGCCCTTATTAAGCATCTGCAGATAGTTGGACATGAAGTATCCGGGAAGGACGAAAGTGCAGGGGACGCCTGAGGCCCGGATGTATCGTTCTATTTCGGCTTTGCCGTCGAAATGGGGTACATGGCTGAGTCGGCCATTCGTTCCTTCGGTGACGTGAACGAGGGACGAGAAGATGAGGTGCTGAGTGCCGAGCTCCTTGGCTACATCGGCGACGTTCTTGCCCTGTCTGATTTCGGTGTCCTTGCTGACGTATTCCCAGTAGTTTGTTACCAGGAAGATGGTGTGGGATCCTTGGAGGGCTGTGCGGAGGGATTCGACGGAACTCAGATCGGCCTGTGCGAGGTTAGATAGATACTTTATAGGTTGGCCTGGACACGTGGAGATCTTGGGGACTGACTCTGATGACCTCCACTCCATGCTTTTGCAGCTCCTGGGCGGCAGGCTTGGAGGTATCGCGGGTGATGCCGCGGATCTTGAATTGTTTGGAGAGCTGGTGATCGGCTAGGATGTGTTTGATCACAGAGCCGCCCTGATTACCAGTGGCGCCGAAGACGGTGATGAGCTTGGACATGCTGGAATGTTGTTGTTTTGGGCTAAAAATCGATGGGTGTGTTGTTGATATTGGGATCTGATGTACAGTAAGTTGTGTAGCTATACTGTTTGCTTATTTGTGATTGAACCTTACTATAACAACATGGGTCATTACCTGGTTTAAATAACATTTCTCTGCACTCTATGTCCGATACTATATCCCTTGGCCCTCAGCCAACATATGTTCTCTACTACCAGTATTCAATATACTAGATCTCGAGATCCCGTGGATTCTATTGGCTGGTTCAGCAGGAGGGCCAAACATTAATTACCTCGGGTTTGCGGGGTCCGAGCTGAGTAATGCGAACATTTGTCACCCATTAGGCACCTCGGTTTGCAAGGTCCGAACTGAATAATGCTGCGCCACAAAATGCTATGGTAGCATTGATGCTTATGCGCCATGTGGTTGTTTGGCATCTCGTGATCGTTCAGCTCAGTCTCCATAATCAATTTAGGTTTCTGTAACTATAGAAACTGACAAAGATGTCGGACGCAATGGCGTCTCTGTGAGCACCTTTCCTCAAGTTCATTGTGGTTATGTCTATTGTTACAAGTCATGTTTACAAATGCTCAATGACTACTTGTTGAATGAGGTATGTGTCCACCTACGATGGAAGCTTTACAGTACACTTGGTTGTGGTCAAAAGGTACCGAGTAGGACTCTCGATATTGCGGGGTTGACATCATGCGATATCTGTGCTAGAGTAGGCTGGCCACGTCGAGATGATCGCCGAAGGGGGTTGACGCACCCCATAAAGTTGACGTTTTTAATTTTCCTTCAATTTGGGGCTTTCTATCATGTTGACTTCACCGTTTTACGAGCAGCATCTAGAACGGGGGTACAGGGTTGCAGAACCATTGTTACATTTGCAAAACACTCGATAAGATAGTGTTATATAATACGAAGCTTATCCATTGTCCAGGGACGTAGACCGATGTAGTCGTGAGATAATGTCAACATCATCCATGGCAAAAGATGTGCCATCTACTTCCTTTGTATAGAAGTGCTTTGCATGATAGGAGGGAGGTTGTACCAACTTAAGCAGGGTACGCGGCTTGTGGCCAGGGATGACGTGAGTGTAACCTAACTGGTCTCAAACCAAGCGACGGTCAAGCATTGTCTCGGGGTCTCAAAGCCTAGAACCAAGCCAATAACATGAACAATTGGTAACTGTACGTTTTCATGATTGACAATGGCCACCGGTAGCGTATAGTATAACTCTATGAGACATTGTCGAATCCTCCCGGCGCATAGATTGACTGGTTCCCGCTGCCAAGCTGTTGAATCATGACTCCCTGGGTAAAAACATGGATAATTCGATCATCACGTTTTTCTCTTTCCCTTTCCCAGACCGCTATGGGATGCAGATCGACTGGTCCGAGGTTGTTGGTTAAGCCTCACTTGGCCCGGCAGATGGCATGCTTAAGCCTGTGGCTTGGTCAGGTCCTACCGTCTCTCCCTCTGTCTCTTGTCGGACAAACACCCTGATTCATGCAGTGAATGCTACTCCGTATTTTCTGTCCGACCTTGAGGGACGATACGGGATAGTGAGAATAATAATAACAATAATAATAACAATAATAATAATAATAATAAATAGAAGAAAGACGCGAAAGACGAGAAAGACGAAGAAAGTAGCAACAAAGGACCCTGAACCTGGGGGGTTGAAAAAGTCAAAAAGTCGAAAAAGGAAAGGCAGAGGGAGAATCATCGAAGAAAGCTTCCAAGAGCGGATGAGGTATCCACGCCAAGCCCCCTGGACAGCCAGGGTCTGGGACTAGGCTTTCTTGTCACGTCTGGCCATCAGGGCGAAAGGGGTCTAGTCAAGTGGATCCTTGGGCTGCTCTAGCCAGATCTTGTCCTCTGCCAAGACGGACGCTTGCGCGTCTCCGCCACTATCTTGGAAGGTTGCCGTAATTTCTGTAACGCCGAGTCCTCTGGTCCTTATTTTCCGAATCCAGGGAAAGAAAAATCACTTATGTCCTAGAACCTGGTCGAACTGTTCAAAAGGTATGCTCCCCTACATACTGCACATGCATACATACATAGGTATGTACATGACGGTCGTAATGGCCTGATCAAGAAGGATTTGTTATGTAGGTGGCAATGTGCAGACCAGATACACAAGATGCATCACCAACAGTCAGTCGAGTGGAGATGCTTTCATTAGAGTACAGAAAGCCGCGTATGCACCTAGCTTAGAGACACAACAGGTCCTTTTTATATGTACAGAATCTGGGTGTGTAGGTATATAGCAAGTGTCATATAATTTGCGGCCAATATACGAGCATCCAGTATAAGAGAAAAAACAAAAAGAACTTCGAAGAATCTCAACTAAGACCAGCAATTAGGGACCGTCCCCTTGACTGAAGTTTGATTCTCATGAAAGATCATCACGATCTTCCCCGAACCGGTGTCGTTGGCTGATTTGGCGGGTTGGCGTGGCACAGATCTGATGGATTGTCTCTAGACTATGTGAATGATGGCGTATGCCTATGCAGACAGAATTTTTCAATGGTTCCTTCACTGGCCGTTCAATTATTAATATATTTCGGGCTCCCCCGATATTGGAATTATTACTTCCTGACCACGTTTATATTATATCCATGGTCGATGATTCGTCAGCAAATGAGGTAAGCGGGTATTCGAAATACTACGAATTGTGGTTGAGATTTCTTCTGGCGAATGGTCATGACATTCGTAAGGCTACGGTTCAAACCGCGCTCTTGAATTTCCTGATTCGTCGGGAAGAGGGACCTTTCTGCTCGTCTTGATGGGGCTGAGAAAGGACGACAACTGTCAGAATTTCCCCAAATTAACGCCGAGTGTGCCGAGAGTGTTCCCCCAGCGTTCCTCTAGCTTGTCCCGCGTGCTGGTTAACGTGCACGGTTCGTATCCTAAGGAAAAAATGGTGACATTTTTAGTCTGTTGATCAGAGCCGCGTAAGACTGAGCTGACGTTGAGACGAGGTCATTTGGGCTGTATGGCCAAATGAAGTACACTGAGTCTTCTATGTGCCCCTCCTATCAATTGGAGTTGGAGTGCATCATGGATGTACAGGACGTATCACAAAAAGCGGGTGATAACAGGTTGGGGTTTATCAATGGGCGAGTGGATTGCGTAGTCGTGTATGTAGAGTCGCATGGGATGAGACCATCCAGAAAGATAAAAATCCACACGGATAGGGCCAAGCTTTTAAGAGATTCATCAGCATACTCCTCAGCTGGTGGGGAGAGAGAACCATCACAATGCGAATGAAAAGAGTCAAACGGGTGGAGCTGGACGGATATGCTCGTGAAATCTTGACAGTCATGTCGGGATAAGCCGTTAACTTTTTGGGGGAGGGGTGTGTAGAATCGATAGAGATGACAACCCAAATTGACTGCCAAGTAAGTTAAAAAGATACATACAAAGGGCATGTATCGTATTGCCAAATCCTTTGGGACACAGTGCGTTAGACGTATGGAAACAGTTTAGTTTAGCGGGCAGCCAAAGGGTCTTGGCCATGGTTCAGTTAACTGTTTCGGGGCGGCACACACGCGGCTTGCGGTGCAAATGCAGAGCCCTGATTGGGGCGAAGACCCCAAGGCTGACGACGCTTCGCCCTCGCTGCTGGCGTGGAAAAAAGGCCAGTGACCTGAAAATTCATCAACTAGTACGTATAGTAGTTTAGTCTATCTACACTCTTCTCTTTCCTCTCCCTCCCTCTCCACCTAGACTGACCCTCTCTCATTCTTCCTCCTCTCTCCCTTTTGGGATCTACTCTCCTCTCCAGTCCCTATATTCTTTTTTGCTTTTCTTTTCTTACCGTTTTTTATTTTCTTTTTCTTTCTTCCTTTCTTTCTTTTTTCTTCCCCTAATTAATTCTTTTCTCTTCCGCTTCGTTAACCTTGAAGCCTTTCCTTTTCATCTCGAATTGGACTTGCAAGGGCGACAGAGTGAAAAATCATTTTCTCTTTCGTTGCTAATTCCACCTCGAAATTCTTTGTGGTGATTTGCAGTCGCGGACACGACTTACGTTGACCCAAACGCCAAGCGTGGCGACCGCTTAGTTGGGCTGTGCGACTATTACCCTACGGACTGACTTCACTAACCATCATCATCCTTCTTCCTTTCCTACTGACTCGACCAACGATCACCACCCTAGACTCTCCCTCCACCCTTCTCCTTCTCTCTTCTTTGACTTCGACTAAGAGAGAAAAGGACATAAACACTATCCGTCCTCGAAGGGTGTCATTGAGAATTCATTCAACCTGGAGTGTCAAATCCGACCGATCGCCGTTGGTGCCGTTCACCCCCTACCACACCACTATGGCAGATAGTATACACCACGCCCAGCGGGCGCAAACCTCTAACAACTTCGACGCTTCCGAGCTCACCCACGCTTTTGAACAACTGATGCGCAATAAGAGATTTCATCGTCTTCAGGAACACTCGAGGGCTCGGACTCATTCCCCGTCACCGTCTCCATCTCAGATTCCTTCGCCTGGGCCGTACGCACCACCTCATCCCTCGCGAGCACCACCACCACCTCCGACCGCAGCTCCCTTTCAGCCACCCCAATTCTCACCACAACCCCAACCGTATCGACCCACTCAAGCCTCGATGTTGCAAGGGTTACCAATTGTTCCATCGCCGCCCCAGGATCAGGCGTCGTTAAAATTCCGAAACCTCCTTCATGTCCTCTCTGTAACACCGACAAAGTACGAGAACCCAGGACTTCTCGACGAAGCTCTCTCCCTGATTCCACTTGACCGGTTGTACTCAGAGGCCGAGGAGGAGAGTCAGATTATGCAAGCACAGGCTGCTAGCATTGGTGGGAGGCCCGAATGGGGGTACCAAGATTGTGTCATCAGGGCTCTTTTGAGGTTCGTTTAATGGCTACTATCACAAGTTATGGCAATTAGTACTAACCGCGATTCTTACAGATGGTTCAAACGATCATTTTTTCAATTCGTCAACAACCCCCCCTGCTCACGATGCTTCATGCCTACAATCGCCCAGGGCAATACACCACCTTCGCCTGACGAGACTGCCCGTGGTGCAACTCGAGTAGAACTTTACCGATGCTCTGAACCAACATGCGGGTGCTATGAGAGATTCCCTCGCTATTCCGATGTTTGGCAACTTTTACAGAGCCGACGGGGTCGTGTAGGTGAATGGGCAAATTGCTTCAGCATGTTCTGCAGAGCACTCGGTGGTCGAGTAAGATGGGTGTGGAACTCGGAGGACTACGTCTGGACCGAGGTATATTCTGAACACCAGAGACGCTGGGTGCATGTAGATGCATGCGAAGAAGCGTGGGACCAGCCCCGTCTCTATGCTGAAGGTTTGTGTTTCCACAGCTGACTTTACTGACTCAAACTAACAATCATCTTCAGGCTGGGGTCGAAAGATGTCATATTGCATTGCATTCTCGATTGATGGCGCCACCGATGTCACGCGTCGATATGTACGAAGCCCGGCAAAGCATGGAGCACCACGGAACCGGGCTCCTGAAGAGGTTGTTCATTGGGTAATTCTCGAAATTAGAAGGAAGCGCCGTGAGAATTCTGGGAAGACGGATCTTAAGCGCTTGTTGAAGGAAGACGAGCGTGAGGAGAAGGAGCTTCGTCATTACACAGCTTCCGCTCTTGCTGCAGAATTAAATAACCTTATGCCTCAGAACCGAACAAACAGCCGACTAGACGACCAGAAGACCCCCGTCTCACGACAGGACGCAGCTGCAGAATGGCTTGCCGCTAGACAAAGAAGCTCCGGCCACTCTGGTTCGGACCACTCACAGGGTGGACGGTAGCGCTACACATGTGTCAGGGTTCTACAATCAACTCATCGTCTTACGAACCGTCGCCCGGGTGCAGTCCATTCTCTGACGGCCGACTGACAACCAACGCAAGGTCTTCGACCGGTATGACGATATAACGTGGTCAAGGTGCTTCGATATTAATCTCATTTCGATAAACACATGATACACGATGGAGTCCGCCAGCCTGTCATAGGATTTATATTCGACCATGACACGTGCACGGCTCTCTATAGCGGCTAAGATCATCCTGTGCCTTTTCATTTACAGTGCATTGATCCTATGAAATCTAAACGAATCGTCTACCGGTCGGGACCCTACTTCGCCTAATCAAGGGTGGGGTCCTTTTCATCCACACTTCCATACTTTGCTAGGACCTTGTCCAGCATTACATTGAAACCAAACTCTTCACCTCACAAGCCATCTGATTCGTGATTTTCACCTAAACAATCCTTGGTTACTAGTACAACAACAACAACAAACATCTCTTTTGTGGTCATTGACCTACACAATACCCATATCTCAATTTTTTTGTTTCATATCAACACATTCATTGTCGATCATCGACTATCTTATTTTTCTTTCTCGTTTCTCTATCTACATCTGGATATTCATTACGACGGGCATCTCAGGAATAGGGCATTAATTGGTTATCTTTTTACTGGGCACTCGGTAGGGGTTTTGAAAGGCGTCTTCCTATAAATTTTAATTTTCTTCTAATTCCTCTTATCTTTTTTCCCTATCTTCTTTTTTCATATGGGCTGGAGCGCCAAGACTGGTGTTGGCCAGTCAATGCCATGTATGTATGAGACACGGATGCTTCGGTCGCACGGCGAAACGGCATCGTTCAATTTCCCTTTTTGTTCTGAATCCTGGCGATCTCAGTTCCTCAGGTCAAATAAACCATTTCATTGACCAACGAAAAACAAACAAACCAATGCATCCAATCCTTAATGGGAATCAAGAACTACCAGTGCCGAATCGATTGTGTCCAGTGCGTGTATTGTAAGCACCAACAGGCAGTGATCCCGATACTCCACTACATAATATTAGGTAAATCCCCAATCAACAACTACCTAAAAAGGGTTCCTTGACTGCAATCTAGTCTTCTCAAGCAATTAATCAAGAAATAATGTCAAGAAAATCTCCAAACCACGACGAAACCCCCAACTCAACAAACCCAACTCCCTAATCAAACCAACCAAATATAAAAGGGCCCCAGGGTCCAAACCAACCGACCCCCTCTCAGATCTGAGACACCAGCAATGGAGCACCAAAAGAAAAAATCAAGAAACAAGGGGAACCACACCAGACCCCTAGGCCCCATAACAAGTTTAATTGCGATATGCAAAATCCCAAGCTGTGATCCGTCCATCGAACATCTCCCCGCGATTGAGGGCGGGTCCGGGTCCGGTCGGCCACGTCGCGCTGGTCGGTCCCTGGACTAGACGCACTATTTTTAGGAATAGAGAAGATCTGCAACGCGCCGGTTCGTTTTGGGCGATGGTCAGGTGAGACTAGGTTTCGGGTCCGAGGGCTTCCTTTTCCCCTTCTTTTTTATTTTATTTTAATTTTGATTTTGGTTTTGGTTTTTTGGGCCTACATTTTATCGTTTGGTCTGCCTTTCACTCTAATTTTATTTGTTAGATTGTTTCTTTATTTACTTAGACTTTTTTTTTTTTTTTTTTTTTTTTTTTTTTTTTTTTTTTTTTTTTTTTTTTTTTTTTTTTTTTTTT